ATAGGAAAGTTATATCCAATTCATTCTACTGTCTTTCTTTTCCCCATCCTCCCACCCTTCCCTTCATTCCTCTTTGTCTAATTCAGTGAACTTCTGTTCATCCCTCCCCACCCTCCTTATTGTGTTTTAACATCTGCATATCAGAGACAACATTTGGCCTTTGGTTTTTGGGGACTGGCTTATTTCACTTAGCATGATAGTTTTCAGATCTAGCCATTTACCAGCAAATGCCATAATTCCATTATTCTTTATGGCTGAGTAATATACTTCATTGTGTATATATGCCACATTTACTTTATCCATTCATCTGTTGAAGAGCACCTAGGTTGGTTCCATAGCTCAGCTATTGTGAATTGCTATAAACATTGATGTGGCTGTGTCCCTGTGGTATGCTGATTTTAAGTCCTTTGGACACACACACACACACACACACACACACACACACCTAGGAGTGGGATAACTAGGTAAAATGGTGGTTCCATTCCCAGTTTTCTGAGGAATCTTCATACTGCTTTTCAGAGTGGTTGCACCAATTTGCAGTCCTACCAGCAATGTGTGTAAATACCTTTTTCCCCACAGCCTCACCAACATTTATTGTTACTTGATAATTGCTGTTCTGACTGGAATGAGATGGAATCAGTGTGGTTTTAATTTGCATTTCTCTAATTGCTAGAGATGTTGCACATTTTTTCATATATTTGTTTTTCATTTGTATTTCTTCAAATTTCTTCTTTTTTCCCATTTATTTTTTATTAAATTATTTATTCTAATTTGTTATACATGATGGCAGAATGTAATTCATTTCATACACATATAGAGCACAATTTTTCAAGTCACTGATTGTACACAAAGTCTTTTCACACCATTCATGTCTTCATACATGTACTAGGGTATTGATGTCTAACTCATTCCACTATCATTCCTCCCCTTTTGTCCCCTTCTTTCCCCTCACTCCCCTTTGCCCTATCTAAAGTTCCTCCATTCTTCCCATGCCATGCTCCCCCAACATTGCCAATATGAGTCAGCATACTCATATCAAAGAAAACATTCGGCCTTTGGTTTTTTGAGATTGGCTTGCTTCACTTAGCATTATATTCTCCAACTTCATCCATTTACCTGAAAATTCCATGATTTTATTCTCTTTTAATGCTGAGTAATGTTCCATTGTGTGTGTGTGTGTGTGTGTGTAACACACACACATATATATATATACACCAAAATTTCCCTATCCAGTCATCTACTGAAGGGGCATCGAAGTTGATTCCATAATTTAGCTATTGTAAATTGTGCTGCTATAAACATTGATAAGGCTGCCCCTTTGCCCGTCTATTGGTTGGATTATTTGTTTTGTTTTGGTGTTCTTTGAGTTTTTATATATCGTACAGATTAATGCTCTATCTGAGGTGCAGGTGGCAAAGATTTTTTATCATTCTGTAGGTGCTGTCTTCACACTCTTGATTTTTTCCTCTACTGTGAAGAATCTTTTTAGTTTGGTACTATCCCATTTTATTGATTCTTGATTTTACTTCTTGTACTTTAGGAGTCTTGTAGAGGAAGTCTGTTCGTAAGCTGACATGATGTAAAGTTGGGTCTACATTTTCTTCTATTAGGTGTAAGTTCTCTGGTCTAATGCCTAGGTCTTTGATCCACTTTGAGTTTTATTCAGGGTGAGAGATAGGGGTTCAGTTTCATTCTGCTACATATGGATTTCCAGTTTTCCCAGCCCCATTTATTGAAGAGGCTCTCTTTCCTCCAAAGTATATTTATGGCACCTTTGTCTAGTATGAGATAACTGTATTTATGTAGGTTTGTCTCTGTGTCTTCTCTTTTGTACCATTGGTCTTCATGTCTGTTTTGGTGCCAATACCAAGCTGTTTTTGTTACTGTAGCTCTGAAGTATAGTTTAATGTCTGGTATTATGATGCCTTCTGTTTCACTTTTCTCAGTAAAGGTTGCTTTGGCTATTCTAGGCCTCTTATTTTTCAAAATGAATTTCATTACTGTTTTCTATTTCTATGAAGAATGTCATTGGAATTTTAATTGAATTAAATCTGTATAGCACTTTTGGTAGTATGGCCATTTTGACAATATTAATTCTGCCTGTCCAAGAACATGGGGGATCTTTCCATTTTCTAAGACCTTCTTCAGTTTCTCTCTTTAGTGTTCTGTAGTTTTTATTGTAGAGGTCTTTCACCTCTTTTGTTAGATTGATTGCCAAGTATTTTTTTTTGAGGCTATTGTGAATGGGATAGTTTTCCTCATTTCTCTTTCAGCTGATGATGATCAGTGTATAGAAGCACAATTGATTTATGAGTGTTAATTTTATATCCTGCTACTTTGCTGAATTCATTTATGAGTTCTAGAGGTTTTCTGGTGAAGTTTTTTTGGATCTTCTAACTGTAGAATTATGTTATCAGCAGATAGGGATAATTTGAGCTCTTCTTTTTCTATTCATATCCCTTTAATTTCTTTTTCCTAGTTGCTCTGGCTAGAGTTTCTGTTTTTGTTGTCTTTATTGAGGTTACAATTAAGTAGTCTTTTCTTCTATTATAATCAAGCAGGATTGCTATGTATGGTAATTTTTATGTGAAACAATAGATTCCATATTCATTTGGTATCAATCAATGTAAAATAATTAGAAAAAATTGTCTTATTATTTTCTCCTCAGATTAATGATGGCACTCAAGTATGAAATTTCTTTTAAAGGATTGTGCCTCCAAATATTTTTGGTGAGGTCTGCTGTTGTCTGCATTCATCATTTTATGCACTGCCACATACAAAGAACTAGTGTTAGACTGGGTTGGGTGGTGCACACCTGTAAGTAATCTCAGTGATTCAGGAGGCTGAGGCAGGAGGATCACAAGTTCAAAGCCAGCCTTACCAACTTAACAAGAATGTGTCTCAAAAAATAAAATAAATAAATAAATAAATAAAAAGGGCTGGGGATATGGCCCAGTAGTTACGCATCCCTGGGTTCAATCTCCAGTACAAAAAAAAAAAAGGTAATATGTATTTTGAAATAGCACAAAAATATTTTAAAATCCATAACTTAAAAACAAACTTGTGACTAGCTTAATGTCTCCAGATATAGAGGGTCTAAAAATATTATTAACACTTCAATATTTGACCTCTTGCCGGGAAAAAAATTCTCAGTCTTTTGTAAAAGGGAGAAAATTTTTTCCATACATTTTTACTCTTTAAAAATTACTTATACTGTTATAATTATGAATTTATTTGTAATTTTACATAAAATACTTATTTTCTATTTTTATTTACTAAAAAATATTTGTGCATAAAATGTGAAATATTAAAATGAGAAAAATAAAAGTATTATATAATTTTAAAAATAAAATAATATACTAAAATGGTGTATTGTAAGTTGCTACTATGAAAAATGAGATGGGGTTCCTCAAAATGTTAGAAATACAGTGTTGCAGGTATAGCTCAGTCATAGAGTGTTTGCCTGGCATGCTTGGGGCCGTGGTTGAGAGTACACAGCCAAACACAAAGGTTAAAAAAAAAATTAGAAAAACAATTGCCATGTGATCTAGCAATTTCAATTTTGCACTTTTGAGTATATATCCAAGAAAATGAAAGGCAAGGTAATGAAACATTTGTATATCCATGTTCATAGCAGCATTGTACACAATGCCAAAAGTTAGTGTGACATTGATTTATGAATGGATAAGCAAAATGAGATCTATATACGCATAGTGTAATATTATTCAGCCTTAAAAAGAAGAAACTTCTGACACATACTACAACATGGATGAATCTCTTACAGAAAAGTCAAATACTGTATTTCCCCCCCATAAAATACCTAGAGTAGTCAAACTCATAGAAACAGGAGAATGGTGATGTTTCCAGGGGCTGGGGAGAGGCAAGAATGAGAGGTTGTTGTATAATTGGTTAGAATTTCATTTTTCCAAAATGAAAAAATTCTTGAGATTGGTTCCACCAAAATGTGAATATATTTGAACTGTACACTTAAAATGGTTACAAGGGAATTTTTGTAATGGATTTTATCATAAAGAAAGAAAGAAAGCTCCACAAGTGATTAATATGCAACAAGATTCAGAACTCAACATTGATTTAATGTAAACAGATATATACTGGCAGAATTTTAAAGCTGTTTTCTAAAAAGAGACCATTTGATAACCATACTTTTTATTTTACATATTTACTAGAGATATTTTGTGTACATTGTTAGGACCTTTGCTCTTTTATCCATAAAGTAATAATGCTATCCAGGAATACTATATTAGATACTATCTTTCTGAAATACTTAGGAAATTTAGATAAAATATTTAAATAAAAATTTAGTATTATATTTTCATGTGCAATCAGAATAAAAGCATAGCATTTGAATATTTGGCATTTTAATTTAATGAATTTAATTAATTTTCATTTTTAATTTATTGCTTGGTGCTGAGAATTGAACACAGGGCCTGTACTTGCCAAGTACATGTCCTACCATTGAGCTACACTCCTGTGCTTTTTTTTTTTTAATCGCTTCATTTAAGTAGCCAGAAAAAAGGAAAAAAAAATTAGCCAGAAAAAATCTTTTCCTTTTCTCTTTTCATTGAATTAACAATCATAGGATACCTATGTAGTAGTGGTATCTTTAACATTCCCTGTTGTTTATTTTTACTAGGGATTTATAGAGTTTTCCTGCTAAGACCTCAATTTGTGGTTTTGAAAGGCAAAAAGAAATTCTGTGAAATGTTGAAATAATTTAAACCATCTAAGACTAAGGCATACATAATGAAACAACTTGTACTATTTGTATAGAAAAAGGTTAGTATTTGTTTAAAAATTCATCATTTGAACTTTTGTTCTGTTTTATGATGTATTTTAAAATATGTTACCTCTATCTTTTGAATAAATCTTCATATCCTATAAAAACACATTTTTAAAGTGCTTCTAAGGTACTCAGTTTTTGTCTTTTTCAGGACATGTACTTGTAAACATTAGAATATCAGGATTTGAACTAGTTAAAAATGTCTCTGCCAAGTCGACAAACAGCTATAGTTAACCCTCCTCCACCAGAGTATATAAATACTAAGAAAAACGGGCGATTAACAAATCAGCTGCAGTATCTACAGAAAGTTGTCCTAAAGGCCTTATGGAAGCACAGTTTCTCTTGGCCTTTTCAGCAGCCTGTGGATGCCGTGAAATTGAAGTTGCCTGTAAGTATATTTGTAATTATGTTAATTTAAATAAAGAAAAATCCTTAAAATTTCTGTAAGACATAACTACTCTTTAATACTATAAAATATATTTAATAAACACTAAAGACTATCTCAATGAGTATTTTTTCCCAAAGAATTCACTTTTCTGGACATTGACATTCTTAACTGTTGGTGGTAAATTATAGTACATGTTTTCTTGTTAGAGCATATGTCACTGGCTTTTTTTTCTGTCTTTTTTTAGTACTTGTTGAACACAGGGGTACTTTACCACTGAGCCACATCCCCATTCCTTTTTATTTGGGGAAGATCTTTGAGGAAAGGTCTCACTAAGATGCTGATGCTGGCCTCAAACTTGAGACCTTCTTGCCTCAGCCTCCTTAGTTGGCATTGTAGCCATTCACCACCATACCCAGGTGTTCCTTGCCTTTTTTTTTTTTTTTTTTGGTGCCAGGGATTGAACTCAGGGGGCACTTGGCCACTGAGCCACATCCCCAGTCCTATTTTGTATTTTATTTAGAGACAGGGTCTCAGAGAGTTGCTTTGTGCTTTGCTATTGATGAGGCTGGCTTTGAACTCGTGATCCTCCTGTCTCAACCTCTGATGATACTGGGATTACAGGCATGTACCACCACGCCCAGCTGTCCCTTGCCTTTTTGATGCAGTGTACTCATGAATGTCACCTTCTTCATGAGTACTTCTTTGGATCATGCACAATTTGACTTTAGGTTTGTCAGAAACTTTTAGTCATCTGATAATAGAAAGTTGAGTAATTATAAATTGAATAACTGGGATTTTATTCTGGATCTGTCAGATTCCATAAATACTAGTTAATTTTTTACTTTTTTTTTTTTTAGCATCATGCCTTTGTATTTTTCAGGGACAATTTTCTTAATTTTTATCTTCATTAATCTTTACTGGCTTTTTCTTTGCTCTTAAAAAATGATGTGACAATCAGCTTTATTTTAAATTACTAAAGATTCTGGCTTCCAGATTTTTAAAACTTTCAGCTTTTTAAAGGTAATTGCTCTATCTAGTTACAATATATAGTTTCATGAAATTTCTTTGTATCATTTGTTATAGTGGGCTTATTCTTGCTAATACTTAGAATTGCTTCAAAATCATAGGACTATTATACCATTATTAAAAGACCAATGGATTTAAATACAATTAAGAAGCGGTTGGAGAATAAATATTATGTGAAGGCTTCAGAATGTATAGAAGACTTCAATATGATGTTCTCGAATTGTTATTTATATAACAAGGTATGTAGACCTTATAATTATACTGCTGATCCTTTGGTATTATGTATAGGAAAGTGTGTAAACAAGTGTGCTGATTTCAGATTTCATGTCTTTATTAGGGACATTTTTCATATTTTTAAGAATGATTTCACTGAATTTTATAATTTTCACACATCAACATTTGTTCAGTAAATTTTACTTGAATAGCTGGAATAGTTGTTTGTTTGTTTGTTTGTTTGTTAATGAAATACCAATGATAACTGGTTTCTGGTAAGGTATTTTAAATTATGTTCTACCGCATTCCTGCTATTTTATTTATAAAACTGGTGCTTGCCAGGTGCAGTGGCACACACCTGTAATCCCAGTGACTTAGGAGGTTGAAATAGGAGTTTTACAAGTTCAAGGCCAGCCTCAGTATCTTAGTGAGATGCCCAGTAACTTAGCAAGACCCTGTCTCAAAATTTAAAAAATGAAAATTAAAAAAAAAGGACTGGGGATAGCTCAATGATAAAGCACTCCTGGGTTTGATACCAAGTTCCAAAGAAAAGAAAAGAAAAAGGGGAAGGGAAAGGAGAAATTTTTCACAGTATAGATCACTGGCCATCCATTACCTAAGAAGATAAACAAATTGCATACCCAACTCCCCAGTAGTTCAAGGGACTGAACCCAGGGCATTGTACATGCTTGGAAAGTGCTCTACCACTGAGCAATACCCCCAGCTACAAAATGCATACTTCTAAACTTCCTGACAAGTTGATTTGAAGATTAGACACCTTCTTTGTTGTAGTCTACTAGCAGTACTTGAAATCATGTTAATGTATTAGCCTGTATCATGATGTATGTGAACATTTTGAACTAAATCTTTTAAAAAAAATATTTATTTGTTTAGTTTTACGTGGACATAACATCTTTATTTTTATGTGATGCTGAGGATCAAACCTAGTGCTTCATGCATGATAGGCAAGCACTCTTCCACTGAGCCACAATCCCAGCCCCTTGAACTTAATCTTCACATTTGTTTTTATCTATAAAATTGGATTTTTATATTTGATTCTGCCTCCATGTAGTATTCTTGTTTCCCAGATTATTGTGTGCTTATCAGTTACATGGTATCTATATATTTTTATGGTATCTATATATATATATTTAAAACTTCTATCTAATTTAAAAAGGAGAAACCTACCTATTTGGTATTTAGTTTATACAAAATCACCAGTGATATTAAAACATAATAGAATGTTTTGTTTCCCAAGGTAACTGTCAACAAACACTACCTTACGTGTAAATATCTGAAGCAATTAACTTGTAAATTTTTAAAAATTTAACCAAAATTTAAGAATGATTTCACTGAATTTTATAATTCAGTTATGAGTATCATTATCAATTATTTTGTCTTTATTTATTTATTTGGTATTGGATTAACCCAGAGATGCTTTACCAGTGAGCCATATCCCCAGTCCTATTTATTTATTTATTTGAGTCAGGTTCTCAGTTAGTTGTTGACGCTGACCTCAAACTTAAAATCCTCTTACCTTAGGCTCTCCAGTCTCTGGGATTACAGGCATGTCCTACCACACCTGGCTAATTTCGTCTTAATTTAACAGCAATTCTAGATGCTTATTTTACATTTAACATTTATTTATTTATTTACTTACTTATTTGGTACTGGGGATTGAACCCAGGGGCACTGAATCACTGAGATACATCCCCAGCCTCTTTTGTTTTTGTGTTTTGAGAAAGTGCCTCACTAAGTTGCTTAGGGCCTTGCTAATATGCTGAGGCTGGCTTTGAATTTGTGACCCCCCTGCTTCAGCCTTATATTTAACATTTTAAAATAAAGTTGAACCAGGTGCAATGATGTATGCCCAGCTACTCCAGATTGCAAGTTTAAGGCCAGCCTGCCTGAAGAACTTAGTGAGAACCTGTCTCAAAAATAAAATAAAATAAGGGCTGGAGATGTAATTCGTGGTAAAGCATCCCTGAGTTAAAATAAATAAGTTATAGTTTTCCTGAACTACCTAACTTAGAAATACATGTTCTGTTTCAGGGTGTTTCTTTATAAATTTTTTTTCCTCAGTGAAGTAAACCAAGTGAAGACTTCTAAGAAAATAGTTAAGATTTTTAAATTGAGTCAACACTACAATGTCACTTTGTTTAGTTAATTAAAAATTTAATCACTTCAAGTCAAACCTTGGAATATTTTGCTTGACAATGAACAAGTTTATTTTATCCTCTTTGAAGTATAGAAATTCTAATTTCTATTATCTTTTTGTATTAAGAGAATTAGTTGAGTTGTAATTCTTTGGTGTTGGGGCATTCTGATCCTTTTTAGAAGTTGAAGGTTTAGGATGCTAGAATTTTAAATATGAATTGCTTCACTATTTTCTAAATTTTATTTACAAGAGATAAATATTGTCTAGGAGAACTGTATGGCTACCCTCTATAAAGTAGACTGATTCAAGAAATTTGGTACAATCATCATATTACTATCCTTATTAAATATTTATTATATTTCCTAGCCTGGAGATGACATTGTTCTTATGGCACAAGCTCTAGAGAAACTGTTTTTACAAAAATTATCTCAGATGCCACAAGAAGAGCAAGTTGTGGGTGGTAAGGAAAGAATAAAGAAAGGTAAGCCAGGAAAGGTAAATTGTTTATGTTGTCTATCTACCTTTAATTCCTCTGTATATGTGTCTGTGTGTAATGGAACTAAACATAAAATCATTCAGAGGAGACAGACATCCAGATGTCATATTACATTCTGCTTTATTGGGATGTAGTAATCAATTCAGTCTACTAAACCTTAATCTCAAAGATGATTATGTACTAGTAGGGAAGATTGCATTGATTATGGGCTTAAAACCAGGTTTCCTGTTATATAGTTATATTCATCTAATAGGCACTCAATAAGTTATAGCTGCCATTATTACTATTTTCAGTGGATCTTGTTTCTATGTTCTGTACTGATGAGAAGACCAAAATTGCAAAAAAAAAAAAAAAAAAAGTCCCTTATCTAAGAATGAATTGTAACTGTTAAATCTCAGATTTTTTTTCTAACTACTGCCCAGCCCCAGTACAGAAGATTGAACCCAGTATGATTACAGTTTGCTTCTCTATCACCGAGCTGTATCCCCAGCCCTTTTATTTATTTACTTTTTAAATTTTGAGACATGATGTCACTAAGTTGCTGAAGCTGGCTTCAAATTTGCAATCCTTATACTTCAGCCTGTCCCAGTGGTTGATGGTTGATTGTAGCTACTTGTTTCTGATGCTCAGAGACCTGCTAGGAGCTTAAGTTTCCTTCAGCCTAAAATTTTTTGACTCTTTTTTTTTTTTGTTAATATATATTTGAATGTTTGTCATACATAAGGCACATATTGTGAGGTTACAAAGAAGTATGACCTCTTTAACTCTCAAGCTAAATTTATATTTTAGAAATAAAACTTATAAAATAATAATGTAATGCATTATGATAAATGTCAGCTGAAATTACATGTAGTATGTGCTGTGTTGCAAAAGAATGATATATAGATTTGTACTAAAAAAGTTGAGGAAGGTTTTAGAACTTGAGTTGGCATTGAAGGACAGTAGGGATTTGGCTTTAGACTGGAAGTCTGAGTTTACAAGTAACTTCTTGTAGAAGCCTTCTACTGCCAGATCCCCTCAGGAATAGAAAAAACAGCTATATGTGATAGTTCAACTAGCCTAAAATAATTTGGATACATATTAATAATTTATGGCAAAGAAAATTAGGTATATTAAATTTAATTAATGTTAATTTGTTGATCAAATATTTGAAAACGTGTTTTATGCCAGAACACTGCTTGGGAACGAAACAAAAACTGTGCCATCTTGGGGTTCATGGTGTAATAGGAAAAGAGAAACTGATAGTTTCAGTAGAGGCCTCATTGAGAAGTTAAGATTTGAAAGAACATTTCAGGCAGAGGGATCAGCTGGGAGAAGGCCTATAACAAGATGTATCTCCTCCATCACCCTGGACCAGTGTCTTTGTTTATGATCACAGATTTTGCTTTCTTCCTTGCCTTCTCAATATTTTCATTCCCTTGGTAATTCCTTTTCCTTCCTGCAGCATTAATCTCTCTTTGTCTGTGGGGTTAATCTCATTACTCTGTATAATTGCTGTACTATCTCATTTTTAAAATCTTCCTTTACCAGTATGCTTCTTCACTTTCTTTAGTATAGGTTCAACCTTTACTATACTACCAAAAATATTCTTGTAAGTCAGGGATACTTATAGTCTTCATGTTGCAAAATCTGTGTAACATTTTCTGTTCTCATTTTCCTTGAACTCTATCAGTATTGTTTTAGAAGGAAGGCTATTGTCTTTTTTCAGTGTCTTTCTTTATTTCTTGTATACACTAATCATGTGGGATAATTTTTCATTCTGTAGTTCTCTTGGCCTTATTCTATTCAACCTTTAAATATTGTGCTTTTGAAATTTTGTTGTTGTTAAAATACTGGAAATAGAACCCAGGGGTGCTCTACTCCTGAGCTACATGCCCAGCCCTTTTATTATTGTTATTATTTTAAGACAAAGTCTTGCTAATTTCTCAGGCTAGCCTCAAACTATCCTCCTGCCTTAGCCTCTTGAGTAGCTAAAATTATGGATGTGCACCTCCATGCTCAGCTCCTGACAGCTTTTTTTTTTTAAGATGTAAATATTCTTTTTCTAAATTTGCATAGTCATCTTCTCTAAGCAAAAAAAAACCAAAATCATTTTTTTCTTGTTAGGTGCGGGGCGGGGGGGGGGGGCGGGGGGCAGGGATTGAACTCAGGCACTTGACCACTGAGCCACATCCCCAGCCCTATTTTGTATTTTATTTAGAGATAGGGTCTCACTGAGTTGCTTAGTGCCTGCTTTTGCTGAGGCTGGCTTTGAACTCATGATCCTTCTGTCTCAGCCCCCGCCCCCTGAGCTGCTGGGATTACAGGAGTGTGCCACCACACCCAACTAAAAACCATTACCTTTAAGCCACCCACCTTCTCCACTTGGATGTCTTATATACATCTGACTCAAAACATGTTTGCAGTGCGTCAATAATCTTCCCAAGACATAAAATGGCACCAATGTATGCACAGATATGTTCAGTTGATCATAATTCCTTTTTTTCTTTCTTTCTTTCTGTCTCACACATTGTGTTCATGAGTCAGTCATTTGGATTCAACCTCCAAATTGCTCCCCCTGCCCTTTTTTTGTGGTGGTGGTATTGGTGGTGGTAGTGGTGTTGCTGCTTCTGCTGGGGATCACACCTATGGTCTCATGTGTTACTGGCAAGTCCTGTACCACTGATCTACATCCTCAGTCCCCCAAATTTCCCTTGTCACTGCCTAATCCAGGCTACCATTTTCTTACTTTCAGTTATCTTGATTATCATGCTGTTCTTACATAATAGCAAAATAATCTTGTAAAAATGAGCTGAAATATGCATTTACCTGCTTAAAATTTGTCTTTGGCTACCCATTAGAAGAATGAAATATAAATCTCATACTCTGACTTTTATGATCTGGTTCTTACCCAACTCTTCATTCTTATCCTGTTATATTCCACTCTCTTGCTGCTGTGTTGGAAACTTAGTCCTCAATGGAACAGTGTTGAGAGATGAGACCTTTGGGAGGTGTTTGGGGAAGAGCCCTCCTGAACGCATCAATCTATTCACAAATTAATGGATTATTATAGGAGTAGCATTGTTTTAAAGGCAAGCTCTGTGGCATGCTTGCTTCATCTTGCCACATGATGCCCTCTGCCATCTTAGGATACAACACCAGACCCTCCCCAGATGTCAAACTAGTGCCATCCTCTTCCCCAGCCTCTAGAACTACGCATCATAAATAAACCTCTATTCTTTATAAATTTTCCAGTTTATAGTATTAGATTATAATAACAAAAAATGCACCATGAGAGATTTCCTATGTTGATTGTTTTTGTATACTGCTTTTGGTTTGGTTTGTTTTGTTTGGTAGTCCTATGAATGAAACCCAGGGTCTTGTGTAGGCTAGGCAAACTCTACCACTGAGCTACATCTGCAGCCCTTTCTATTTTGTTTTGAGACACGGTCTTGCTAAGTTGCCCAGTCTCAAATTTGGCAGTCCTGCTTCAGCCACTTGAGTAACTGGGATTGTAAGCATATACCACCAAGCCCACAATTAAGTGACATCTTAATTGTGACCTTTAGAGAGGCCTCTCTTGGTCTGGGGATATAATTCAGTGGTAGAGCACTTGTGTACCATATGTAAGGCCCTGGGTTTGATCCCCAGAACTGGAAAAAAAATGTAAAGAGGCCTCTCTTGGTTACCCTTTATATAGTAGATCTCTGCCTTAATGTGATCAGCATCATATTTTTTTCCTTCCTAATACTTTGCATGTCTTATAATCAGTTTGGTGACTTATTTTTGTGTGTTTCTTTTCTTTCAAGCTGAGTATTACACCCAGTGCCTCACACATGCTTTGTCATTGAGCTACACCCCGTATTCCTTATTGTGCCCCAGGACCTAAAGTAGTACCCAGCACACAATCAATAGCCATGCAATATGTATATATTATGTTCTTGTATACTGAGTACTATACTTAGGCATAAGTGATATTGCAGTAACCAAAATAAAGTCCCCAATAGATGAATGGATTTTTTTAAAAGTTGATATATAAGATCGGGGAATATTACTCAACCTTAAAGAAGAATGAAATTATGGCATTTGCCAGTAAAGGAATGGAGCTAGAGAATATCATGCTAAGCAAAATAAGCCAATCCTAAGAAAACAAAAGCTGAATGTTTTCTCTGATATGTGGATGCTAATTCACAATAAGGGGGGTGGCTAGGGAAGAATAGAGTTACTTCAGGTTAGAGGAGAGTGAAGGGAGGGGAGGGGGTATAGGGGTAAGGAGGATAGTAGAATGAAACAGACATCATATGTAACTATATGACTGGTGGGATTTTACATCATGTGTAACCAGAAGAATGAGAAATTATACTCCAGTATATGTGATGTATCAAAGTGTATTCTACTGTCATGTGTAACTAATTAAATTATAAAAATTTTTAAAAAGATGACTATAAGGTTTTTGGCTTGAACAATTAGTAGAATGGAGTTACCTTGATGAACTTTTGAAATAATCAAAAATACAGTGATTGAAAAGTCTCAAATTATAGCATTCTTCAGGAACATAGTAAGATAGACCATGCACAATTGTCCTTTGTAAGAATTGTCTAAAGGATGTTTTGTTCTATTCTGTTTCTTTCTTTTTCTTTTTTTTTTTTTTAACAGCGATTGAACTTAGGGCGCTTAACCACTGAGCAATATCCAAGTTTTTAAAATTTCTTATTTTGAGACAGGTTCTCTCAAACTTGCTTAGAGCCTCACTAAGTTTCGGAGGCTGGCCTTGAACTTGCAATCCTCCTGCTTCAGCCTTCTAAGTTGCTGGGAACAGGCGTGTGCCACCACATCTGGCCTAAGGGATATTTTAATAGGAGAATCATCTTTCTTCTTTCCTTCTTTTTTTTCCTTATTTATACAGTACTGGGGATTGAAACCAGGATATTCTACCACTGTTTTCTTTTTTTTTCCAAAGCAGGCTTGTGCTGAGCTGCTCAAACTAGCCTTAAACTTATGATTCTGAGCCTCAGCCTCAAGAGTAACAGGGAATACAGGTGTGCACCATCTTACCTGACTCTATTCATATATCTTTGTCTGAAATAATTTTAAAATATGTGGATATTTATGCAGAACATTCTGAAGACCTCACATAGTACTATATAGTTTGTTTCCAGGGTGTCTGAAAGTTTTGCTCGTGTTCACAGCTACCTGAAACTATTCACAGAGATATATAAAATTGACAAACCTATCATTAATAATAGGAGTGGAGGGCGGTGGCTTAGGGATTTAACCCAGGGTTGCTGTACTGCTGAGCTATATCCCCATCCCTTTTTATTTGTTGTTTAGAGAAAGGGCCTTGCTAAATAGTGAAGACTGGCCTTGAACTTGCCATCCTTCTGCCTCAGTTTCTTGAGTAGCTGGGATTATAGGCTTGTGCTACCATGCCCAGTTTATTAACAGGTTTTGTAGTCTCCAATGTTATGTATAAATTGTTGCAGATAATAATCTTGAAACACACAATGAATGCCATAATCCTGAATGTTGAGCCCCCAAAATATAAGAATTCTGAAAATTACAGTCCTGAATGGTTGAAATCCTGAAAGCTAAAATTCCCCAAATTGAAATTCCCATGAAAAAATAAGTGGGTAGCAAGCTGAATTCTGGTAAAAGAATTGAACATGTAGAAGTGATGAAATTACAGTGATGAAACTTCAATTTAAAAATGAATTCATTCAAATGGATAAGGAAAATGTGATATATATATAGTGGAATTTTATCCAGCCCAAAGAAAACTGAAATTATAGTATTTGCAGGAAAATGGATGACTCTAGAGACCATTATGTTAAGTGAAATAATCCAAACTCAGAAAACCAAGCTTGGATATTTTCTCTTATATGCAGAAGCTAGAGAGGAAAAAGGAAAAGAAAAGTGAGGTTGAATCTCCTAAAAATCAAAGGGAGATCAGTAGAAGAAATGGAACAAGGGATGACAGGCAGGGAGAGATGGGGGAACAAATTCCATGTATATACAAATGTAATGCAACAATAAAAAATATGGAAAATTTCAAAAAAATAAAAAGGACATCCATTGAGGGATGAGGGTATAGTTCAATGGTAGTGTACTTGCCTATCCTGGGTTCAGTCCCCAGTACTTAAAAAGAAAAAAGCATCCATTGGTCTGCATTAGCTAATGAAATTATAGGAACTTTTAATTAATTAAAGCTGTACTTTTGTAAATAAGTCAGGAGAGTTACTGACTGAATTGAAAATAATTTTGTGCATAGCAGAATAGGAAGACACACAGTGGTGTTGATCGCCAGTATTGTTTCTACCAAAGCTATGCTCCTTGTATGGATACATATGGAATAGATTTCCATGTACCCAAAACAATATCAAGACATAGCACAAAAGGTAGAAAAAGTTAGTAGGAAATGCTCACGTTGGGGTGTATCAAATCATAGATAATTTTTAAAAGATCAGTGCCATATAGGAAATGAATGTGAACACGTGCTCTGAGGAGAGCCAGGGATAGGGGTAGGAGCAAAGGGGAAGAAGCAAGCTATTCATTGTGATGAAGAACTTCAAAATATAGTTAATGATCATGAATATTCTTATGGACTGCATCTGTGAAACTGCCTAATAATCTATTTCTGTTAGATACTTTTATTTGTCAAACTTTTAGCTTTTTTCATTTCTTTCACCCTCCACCCTTGGGCTTATCAACCCAAACTGTTTTGAATTGTCAGCAATATTTTTTTTACAGTTCTTCATACTATATATCTCATTTTTACATTATTTCTAATATTGGAGATATAAATTATATAAAGATTTTTAAAGAATTCTAATTTTATGCCTTTTTTTTTCAAATTTGACCTATAGAAATGCATCATCATAACATTGTTCATATATATAAAAGTTTTGAAACTTCTTCAATAACTGAAGCAATGTTATTTTGTAATCTGCATTCATAAGGTATAGTTTCTTAAACTTGTTCCTGTTAGGGCTGGGATGTAGCTCAGTGTAGAGTACTTGCTTATCATGCTCAATCCCAGAATTTAATCCCTACTACCTCAAGGGGAAAAAAAAGTGAGTACATACATATTCTATGGCAATTAATTGCAGTTTTTGATTGTTCTCATCAAAAGGCCTAGGTTGTACATCACAGTACTTCAGAAGATTTCAGTTATAAAACCAGATGCAGGGCTGGGGATGTGGCTCAAGCTGTAACGCGCTCGCCTGGCACGTGTGGGGCGCTGGGTTCGATCCTCAGCACCACATAAAAGTAAAGATGTTGTGTCCACCGAAAACTAAAAAATAAATATTAAAAAATTCTCTCTCTCTCTCTTAAAAAAAAAACAGATGCATACAATTACTAATTGTAATGATTTAAACTTAATAATTTAAACTTATTTCTTCATGAATATGGTTAATCTGCTCTTGATTGTTATGCCTTTGTGACTGGTGTTAGTACACTGGAGTGTTTGTTTGGGAAAGTAAGTTTGTTGTTATTGCCTATTTTATTGTAAAGTGACTTATGAAGTGTTATGTTGCATCTTTATTTTTCTCAAATCCCCTTTCAAAATTTTAAATAGGGTTGGAGGTGTAACTCGGTAGTAGAGAACCTGCTGAGCATGCCTGAGGCCCTGGGTTTAGTCCCCACACCACTGAAAAGAAAAAAGAGCAGATAAACTTATTTTAAAATTTTTTTTCCAGAATTATTTTTGGAATTTCAATATTTTGAGATTTTAGACATTAGGGATTTTAATGTTTCATGATTTCAGCATTTGGGATTGTATCTTTTCAGATTGTGACCCAAATTCTGTGAAATTGTTCTAATACTATCAGCAACAGTATGTGTGGGAAGATTTCAAAGAATGGAAGCATATTTTTCTATTTTGCTAAAAAGCTGACCTACATTAAAATGGAATACTAACAAAAATAAATAGTGTTTTGTTCTAACTCAGATATTTAACTTTGGTTCATACTTCATTAGGCACTCAACAGAACCTTTTAGTTTCTTCTGTAAAAGAAAAAGCATCCCCCAAAGCAACAGAAAATGTATTTAAGCAGCAAGAGATTCCTTCTGTGTTTCCTGAGATATCTGTTTCTCCCTTAAGCATGGCACAAGGAGCTCCACTCAACTCAAGCTCACAACCTGTGGTCCAAGTATGTCATTTTTAAATTATTGGTTCCTGAAATATTTCAATATACTTGGATGTTGTAATATTTATACTTTTTAAAAGTTGCTATGATAATTGTCTTCAGCATATAGCAATCCCAAGTAATACTGTTCCTGCCTCTTTGAACATTGTATGAACAGACACCTAGAATGCTAACCAAATGTTGAACATTTCTTAGGTAGAATTTGAACTGTTTTGGTATCTTGATAGCATTAATATAAAGAGTTGTCCATTTATATAGTTATTTTTTTAAAATTGTATGCCCTAGTTGATTTAAAGTATTCAGAAAACTTTTGATATAGCCATGACTGATTTATTTATCTTAAGGGATTATAAAAGGCAATTCTTTGGGATGTAGGAAGAAAATATTTTAATATTCTATTTATTTAGTCTATAAAAGAAAAATTAACCTTTATTAATACTTAATACATGGATTGTTTTATAAATTATATAAAAACTTGGCATCAGTAATTGGTCCCCCTTATTTTTAAAAACCTGATGACTATGTGCTTAAGTATAGCTTCTTCTTGTTGAATTGTTTGATTTTAGGTTACAAGAGGTGTGAAGAGAAAAGCAGATACAACAACTCCTACAACTTCTGTAGTTAAAGCAAGTAATGAATCTTCTCCAACACTTACTGAAAAAAAATCAATGCGAATGCCACCAATAAACGAAAATGTGCTGAAGAATGATTTGCCAGATTCTCAACAACAATATAAGGCTGTAAGAAGTGTTACAGTAACTGAACAATTAAAGCACTGTAGTGAAATTCTTAAAGAATTGCTTGCAAAGAAACATTTATCATATGCGTGGCCCTTTTATAATCCTGTTGATGCTAATGCTTTGGGACTTCATAACTACTATGACATTGTCAAAAATCCAATGGATCTTGGAACTATTAAGGTAAATATTGCCTTAATAAAAGGAACTTCATTTCTTGATTATAAAAGCTGAGCGTGGTGGGGTGCACTTGTAATCCTAGGTACGCAGGAAGCTGAGGTAGCAGGAAGGATCACTTGAGCCCAGGAGTTTAAACAAAGACAACAACAAAAAAAGTAATATTGCAAGAAATTTGCAATGAAGAAGATGAAGAAAATTAAAACACCAATCACATCACCTGAAGTGAATCATTGGAACATTTTAAAATGTATCTTTTCTCATGTTAATACATCCATTGTTCTTTTGCACTACTGGGGATTGAACCCAGGGGTGCTCTACTGCTTAACTACATCTCCAGCCCCGTTTATTTTTTATTTTGAGACAGGGTCTGGCTGAGTTGCCCAGGCTGGTTTTGAACATGTAATCCTCCTGCCTGACCCTTTTGAGCATGGAGATTACAGGCGTGCACAACTGTACCTAGCATATTCATTGTTCTTCATCACAATATTTGGGTTACGGTGAATAATATAATCCATACCCATTGTACTGCCTGTCCTTTATTATTGTCTACATGTTTGATTCTTCTTTTTAACACAGTTTTGATTTATTTTTTTAATCAGCAACATAAAGTTTATTAACATTACCAAATTTTGGGCTCACCCTCTTTCCTTGCATCCTACTTTTTCCTCTTTGGGTTTGTTCTCTTTGTTGAAATGTAATATTAGTGTTTTTTTCATGAGAGTTTTTAGGTGGTAAACTCTTACTAGTTTATATCTTAAACTATATTTTACCCTTATACTTGAATGATTCTTTAGTTCACTATAGAATTCTAAAATGACAGTTATTTCCCTCAGCAATTAGAAGACATATTCCAACATCTCTTGCTGATTTCTGCTGTCAGTTTGCTTGGTAATCCTTCCATAAGTCGTGTGTCTTTCCTCATCTAGCTGCATATTTTATTTTATTCATCTTAACTGGAAGTTAGCACTTTCAGTATGAATATTTGTATCTTAAGTTCTGAAAATGTTTAGCCATTTTCTCTTTAAAATAGTGCTTTCTTTCTTTTCCCTATATACTAACTCAGAGATCATGAAACATCTGAAATAGGTAAACCTGAACCAGATCTTAAAAATAGATAGAACTTAGTAATTTATAGGATGTTTCAAGCATGGGAAACAAGTTTGTACAATCATGAAGTAAGAAAACACATTAGACTGGGCAAACTTGAAACATAGAGAATATGAAAGAGACCTGGGGGAAAATTAGACTGGGAGGAAATCTGATTCATAAATACAAAAGAACATTATAAAGAAGACAAAAACTGCTGTTAAAATAACTAATAAAAATTTAAAAAAATAAGAATAATGTCCTTCTATTTGATATTTATAGTGTTTTTCCCTAGCAGCAATTTATAGATTGCTTACAGGACTCTAAAATGAAGGTGACTTTGATTTAGTTTTCTGAAGTCACTCTCAATTGACAGTGATCTGATTGGTAGTAAGTTATGTCTCTTGTAAATTTTACCTTCATTTTTTTTAAACTTGTATGTTTGTGTGTGGTATTGGGGATCAAACCTTGCATGTGCTAGGCAGGCATTCTCCCATCAAACAATATCCCCACAAGGTCTTGCTAAAGTTGCTCAGGTTGGCCTCAAACTATCCCCCGGCCTCAGCCTCCTGAGTAGATGGGATTATAATAGGCCATGCCACCACGCCCAGCCGTTTTATTTTTTTCAAATTACAAATGCTGTCTAGCATAATGTATTTGTATATTGCCTTTTGAATTTGTTTGTGACTTGTCCACTAATATATATATTTTGCTTAAAAGTCTGTTAGATTTTCTTGCTAATTTTTCTTTTTTGTAATGGATGCCTATTTAGATACTCTATGTCCCACTCTTAGAACACCTTATGTGTAGCCATCAAAATTGTAACCCATACTCTTATTACTCTTTTGTTTTTATTACCTTTCCATTCTCAGGAGGATTTTGATTTAAATCTTTCATTTAAATGTTCAAGATCAGCTTAAGATTATCTTTTTGTTTGTTTGTTTTCTTATTATCAAATTACCTATTGTGATTTTATGAAAATGCTGTGGTTTTCTGCCTTTGTGATTTTATTTCTGTCCTTTTCTTTGTATGGATCACACTCCCTTATTATTTCTTTTTTTTAATATTTATTTTTTAGTTGTAGTTAGGCACAATGTCTTTATTTTGTTTATTTATTTTTATGTGGTATGGAGGATCGAACCCAGGCCTCAGACATGCTAGGCATGCGCTCTACCACTGAGCCACAACTCCAGCCCCCTTTATTATTTCTACTATAAAAATTCATTGGATTATTTTTCAAAGTCTAAGAAATATGAAATGTCAAATTTTAACATTTGTCAAATATGGATATTGAGTTATTGGTTTTGTTATTTTCTATGTTCTCCTGTACAACTGAATTATTTCATATATAAACACTTAAAATAGGCACTCAAACAGTGATTGAATTGAACTATATTGTCTGTGAAACTTGTAACTTTTCCTTAATTTAGAGGAAAATGGACAATCAAGAATATAAGGATGCATATGAATTTGCTGCAGATGTTAGATTAATGTTCATGAATTGCTACAAATACAATCCTCCAGATCATGAAGTAGTAGCAATGGCTAGAATGCTTCAGGTGAGTTTTTACTTGTTCTCTGAAAGCAATTTTCCTCCTAATATAGTTTAAAAATTTTAGAATTATAATGCAGGAATTAAAGAATAATACAACCCTAAATATCACAAAATAATTTATAAATAATACTTTTTAAACTGTTTGGGTTTGTCTTTTGACTTATGTTGTTCAGTAGCAAGTCTTTTAATGAAGCTGCCCACCATGCAGAAAAAGTTGGGGAAATATTCATGAAGTAGGTTTAGTAGATATCTGAGATAGGTTGATTAGGATACCCATCCCACTGAAGGGGAAATTCAAGGACTTCTGAGTCTTAGCCATTAGAAGAGAATGACACATCAACTGTAGAACTTTTCAAAGAAGGTTCCCTATAAAACTTGAGAAGTCTATGCATGGAAAATGGAGAAAATTTGCTGAGATTACCAGGCAATGAAGCATGGGTTTGTCTTCTGGTATATCTTAAAGAATTCTTATCAAAATATGATACTGAAATATACTATTTGTTAAATGGTATTATTGCTGCATTAAATCAGAAATGCAGAAAACCTTCACAGTCTGCTTTTTCAATACAGGATGTTTTTGAAATGCATTTTGCCAAAATCCCCGATGAGCCTGTTGAGAGTATGCCTGTTTGTTATCTCACAAATGATACTACAAAATCCCTTGGTAGAGAAAGCACTAGTGAAGCGTCCTCTGAAGATAAGTCTTCTGATGATTCTGAAGATGAGAGAGTTCAGCGTCTTGCAAAGCTTCAGGAGCAGGTAGTTGGTTATATTGAGACAAGTTCTAATATTCTATGAACTAATATTCTATAAAATCCTTCTTGTATATATATTTTTTCATACTGGGAATTGAACCCAGGAGTACTCTTTATCACTAAGCTACATCTCCAACCCCTTATTTGATTTTGAGATAGCCTCAGAATTGAAATCTTCCTGCCTCAGCTTCCCAACTTGGTAGGGTTACAGTAATGCACCACCACACCTCGTTTCTTGTATAGATTTTTGTTTATGGTGGTAGAGTTAGAACTCGGAGCCTCTTACCTGTGAGGTAAGTGAGCCACATTACCAGGTTCCTCCTCTTTGATTTAAAGATATTATATTTAGATCACTTAGCAATTGTGGCTTTATGTACTTATTGGCACATTTGTTGTGTTTAATAGTCTTTCATTTATCTATATATTCATAAAACTTTTTTCATAGTTCCATTATTTATATTCTCTATTCTCAATCACAATGAGTTGTTGATTCTCACTGAAATGATTTATGACATAATCTGAGAGACTTTGTGGATAAGATCTTAACATTGTTCCTTTTTTGATAAAAGGTTAACCTGTTCTGATATCAAACCTGAAAAGTTAATTATTAAAATTAAAGACCACCCAGAAAGTAATTCTTGGTCTGTTTTATTTATTTATTTATTTATATTTTTTTTACAGTCCTGGAATCAAACCCAGGGCTTTGGACATGCTAGACAAATGCTCCTCTTCTGAGCTATATGCCCAGTCCTCTTGGTCTATTTTTAGAGGAGTGTTTATCGGATAGTGTCTGAAGTTTAATGTAGTTTAATGTAAGTTTAATGTAGTCTACAGTGAATTTCTGAAGTGAAATAAAAACCTGAAAGGAATGTAATATGATATGAATTTCACAAGGGATACTCTCTTTGGAGTACTTCAAATTTTTATCTAGTCATTTAATTATTTAGAGCCATGAATGTTTAAAGATCTTTTTGTTCCCCTTTATCAGCTTAAAGCTGTTCATGAACAGCTACAGGTTCTGTCTCAAGTACCTTTCCGTAAACTAAAGAAAAAGAATGAGAAATCTAAAAGGGGGAAAAAAAGAGAAAAGGTTAATACCAGAGATGAAAATCCAAGGAAAAACTTTAAGCAAGTGAAACCAAAGGATAAGTCCAAGAGCAAGTAAGTAACTTTTATGATGACTTATTAAAACAAGAATAACACTATCTAAAATAAATTTGGGTGGGGGTATAGCTCAGTGTTAGAGTATGTGCTTAGCCATGTGCAAGGCCTTGGGTTCAATCCCCAGCACCATAATAAAATAGTAAAAAAATTAATGAAATAAATTGTACTTTTTGTTTCAGCCAACCAAAGAAGAGGAAACAACAGGTCTTTGTTCTGAAGTCTGAAGATGAAGATAATGCTAAGCCTATGAACTATGATGAGAAAAGACAGCTAAGTTTGGATATAAACAAACTCCCTGGAGATAAACTTGGGAGAGTAGTTCATATAATACAATCAAGAGAACCCTCACTAAGAAATTCCAATCCTGATGAGATAGAGATTGACTTTGAAACACTGAAAGCATCAACACTAAGAGAATTGGAAAAATATGTTGTGGCATGTTTAAGAAAAAGACCACTAAAACCTCATGGTATGTATTTCTATCTATTAATAAAAATTTAGTATGGAATTGTGTTGATCTTTGGTTTTACTAACTCTTTTTACTCCTAAATCACGTAGCTAAGAAAATAATGAAGTCCAAAGAAGAACTTCATTCACAGAAAAAACAAGAGTTGGAAAAGCGGTTACTGGATGTCAACAATCAGTTAAATTCTAGAAAACGGCAAACAAAACGTAAGTAGCAATTTTTTGGTTTTTGGTACTGGGTATTGAACCCAGAGAAGTTTTACCGCTGAGCCACATCCCCAATCATTTTTATTTCTTATATTTAATTTTGAGACAGGGTCTCACTAAGTTGCTTAGAGTCTTACTAATTTACTGAGGCTGGCCTCAAACTTGTGATTCTCCTGCCTCAGCTTCCCCAATTGGGATTACTAGCATGCACCATAACCACCACATCTAGTATAGGTGGTAGTTTTTAAATGTTCTTGTCATTTAATTCATTTGGCATTTTAATGTGATTCTCTGTTTTCAGTTGAGAAAACACAACCATTGAAAGCAGTTGGAGGTGGGTCCCGCCTGAGTGAGAGCAGCAGCAGCAGCAGCAGCAGCAGCAGCAGCAGCTCATCAGAGTCTGAAAGCAGCAGCAGTGATTCAAGCTCTTCAGACAGCAGTGATTCTAAACCAGGTTAGCTGCCTCCTTAAGTGTACCTCTGTTGGTGGGAACCTTATTTTATTGTAATATTGAGACGTATATTTTAAAGAAGGATTTGTTACTTACCCAGAACTTATGATTTGGATGCCACACTAATTATTTAATTGCATGTAGACAGCCTTACTATTTTCTTAAAAGAGATAACTGTGTAAAAAGAAATTTCATATACGTATGTGCCTTGTAGGTTTACAATGTTGAAAATAAGTTACTCATGGTGGAATAGTACCTTAATAAATAATACCAGATCTTAAACCAGAAAATATTAGCTAATAAAACACTGATTTTCACTTTTTACAAAATGAAATTTTGAGGGCATCTTTCAATTTATTCTCCATGATATATCAAATCACTCTAATGTTGCAAGGTATGTCCTATTGTAATACTATGTTCTGAATTGAATAGTCATTTTGATTTAAGAAGTCAGTCATCCCAGAAACTGCAAAGCAGATTATTTTTTCACTTTCTTGGTTTCTTCACTATAGAATATTGTCTTCCATCTATAGAAAAATATATTTTAAATCCAGATTCACAGTTATGCTAAAGTACCATATTACATTTTATAGTTTATCTGTTGTGTCAAGCTTAGGTCATTCACATTTTCTTTGTGTTTTTTCATTAATAGTCATACAGTTGACAGGTATTCACTGCCCCAAGGATGCTGACTTGGCAGTGGTTGACCATTATTGACCAAAAGGCAAAATCATAATATAGGATGTTTTTGTGCCTAAATTTTGCTTATTTTAAATGAGATATTTCTTGTTAATGAAATTCAGTTCTCTTTTAAAAATCCCACATAGACTATTGTGACATCAGAAATTCTTGCCATTTGTAAGAATATCCCTCTTTTTTCTTTCTGATAGTTAGGGTCTGCTGGCTTAACAGTACATTTTATTTTACTTTTGGTTCTGTTTAGTTTGCATTTATGTGGTGTTGGTTGCTGCATTTTGTTTTTACATTTCTAAAGTATATAGTGGCAAACAATTTTGTAAGAATAAACAATTTTTTTCTTTTGTTGGTATTTGTCATACTAGAAAATTTTTAGATTAATTTAGGGCTCTGATTATACAGTATTTCCTTATATTTGACTTTTAAACATAAAGCAATACTGGAAAAAATCTAAATTGCATTTAGTATTTTAAATTGTAATTAGCAATTGTAATGTCATCTAATAAAGCATTTGTGGCCTAATAAGTTAGAGCACTTTGTCTTTTATTTGTAAGCTATAAACTTTATTATAACAATTAGTTTGTGTATCATTTGACTATTGCTAATAAATGCCTTGAATACTAGAGGAAAAATACAACATAAAGAGCTTTTCAATAAAATACTTTTTAGTTGTAGTTGGACACAATACCTTTATTTATTTTTATGTGGTGCTGAGGATCGAACTCAGGTCCTTGTGCTAGACAAGCGCTCTACTGCTGAGCCACAACCCAAGCCCTAAAATACCTTAATTTTAATTTCAATTATCAGTTTGATAGAATATTCTAGTATGTTGCTTGAAGGAAAGAATGTATTTATTTATTTATTGCCAACTATATATTCTTAAAATGATTGGATATCTATCATGTTTTTCTAACTTCTAGCAGAATAACTAATTTTAGAATTCTAACCTTTTTTTTGGTACCGGGAATTGAACTCTGGGGCACTTGACCACTGAGCCACATCCCCAGCCTTATTTTGCATTTTATTTGGAGACAGGGTCTCACTGAGTTGCTTAGGGCCTTGCTGTTGTTGAGGCTGGCTTTGAACTCCAGATCCTCCTGCTTTAGCTTCCTGAGCAGCTGGGATTACAAGGGTGTGCCACTGTGTCCAGCGGAATTCTAATCTTAAAATACTGCTGACTTCTTATTTTATGATTGATATTCTTGATTAATGTCATCGTCCTCAATTAAAAGTGTTTTTAAAAATTCACTATTAAAATAAAGTCAGAGTAGCATTAGTTTTCTTTTTCTTTTCCTGACAACACTGGCTGTTGTACCCAAGGCCTTTGGCATGCTAAGCCAAGCAAGCACTCTATCACTGAATTGTACCCTCAGTCCCAATTTTTCTGATTTGACCTACATTATGAATAGCACAGCTTGTGACACTAAGGTCAATTTTTCTTCTAACCTGATAATGTAAATTGTCATTTATTTTTGAAATTTTAATTGTCTCTATGTACTTTGCTGAAAAAAACACTATTTATGTTTATTCTAAACTGCAAATGCAAAGTTTAACTTAATAGCAAAATTATATCTTTGCTTGATATTAAGTAATGAAGAAATAGGACATTTTTTCCTAAATATTAATTTCATTTGTACCCATAAAAATACTTTAAGGCTCTTCCTAGTGACTCAGGAGGATCACAAATTCAAAGCCAGCATTAGCAAAAGTGAGGTGATAAGCAATTCACTGAGATCCTGTCTCTAAATAAAATACAAAGTGGGACTGGAGATGTGGCTCAGTGGTCAGGTGCCCCTGTTGAGTTCAATTCCCAGTACCAAAAAAAAAAAAGAAAAAGAAAACTTTAAGGCTCTCAATTTCTAGTATGTAAGCTAAGAGCATTTTTTTTTTACTTCCTTGGGAATAATAATAAAAATTATGAGCAAAATGATTTTAAGTTGTGAAATAAGCAAGTCAGACCATATCAAAACCAATACCTATTATTAAAATAACTAAAGCATCTACTGTTCTTAATCTTGCATATGATGTTTTCAAAGAACAGATCACAAATCCTTTGTCAAAGTTTCAGGGTTGGGGGAAATGGTGCTACTTATTCAGAAAAAAAAATTTGTGAAAATTAGGTAGTTCATCAAAGATTTATATGCTGTATAATCTATTAAAAATTAAATGAGGAGCTGGGGTCTAACTCAGTGGTAAAGTGCTTACTAGTATGTGTGGTAGAGTGTTTGCCCCTACCCCCATCCCCACACACAAATCATTTTGGTTGGATCCACTGCTCTGCAGAAAATTAAATATATTCAAATAATTACTTATTAATTGTTCAAAACTGAAAGTTTTAATTGAATATTCTGATTCCCAGAGCTCTAGTTAATAGGCTTTTAATTATTTATCAGTATAGAAGATATGAATATAATGTAATTTCTTCAAAACTTTGGGGAGGAAACTTTATTGAATGCTCTGTGACATACTCCCTTTTTTAAAATTTCTTTTCTTTCTTTTTAGTTGTTGTTGGATCTGTATTTTATTTATTTATATCCAGTGCTGAGAATTAAACCCAGTGCCTCACACATGCTAGACAAGCACTCTACCACTGAGCTAAAACCCCCGTCTACATACTCCCTTCTGACAGAAGGATATTGACCTTTGTAATATTTTTCTCATCTACTTCTTTTTTGGGACTAAGTCTGGCTTCTTCTTCAGCTTTCAAATTGCTGGAATTATAAGGCCTGTACCACCACACCCAGCTCAAATCTACTTTTTAATGCTTGTCTTTCTGATTTTTATAGCAACTTAGTTTTCTTAACTAAGTCACAAGTCTTTTAGAACTTGACTTGTCACAAAAAAAAAAAAAACTTTAAATTACCTTTTCTAATTCCTTAAGACTATTGAATTATCTTTCTTACAGTTAATGAGTTGGTCTGTTTACTGTATTATTTTGTTTACACGTGGCAAATGTTTTGAGTGTAATATCTTAAAAATATTCTAATATTGTAAGAAGTAGTTTAGGGTACTTTTTCTATATTCCTTAAATGGGTACCTTCTATCATTTTCAAACTTAAATTTATATACTTTTGTAAAATATAAACTTAATTTTTATTTTGTTAAGTATTTATTACAGAGCCTAGCATTGACTTCCAAGTGAAGTTTTATTTACAAATTTAGGAAATTCACTTAATTCTTATTTTATGCCAACAATTTGTTTCTAGATAGAGAATTATTAATAAAATCCTAAAACCTTAAAAAATGAAAATGAGAATCTGTGGACTAAAAGCATCCTTCATTGCAAATTTCATTGTAATTTAGTTTGATCATTTAAATTATCTATATAAATAGATCATTCACATATGCAAATATGTGTAGATAAGAACATTTAGGAAACTGTGTTATAAATATAAAACCTTAAAAATTAGTTTTTATTTTAAAAGAAAAAATTATTTTTCATTAACTGTCAAATATTGTTAAATTTTAGATCACAGATGTAGATAAGACTTGAAAATTAAATTAATTCCCAGTGCATATATCCTGTATTGTTTAGGATTTGCTAGTATGCACATGCACTCTACCAAGAGTTTTTTAATGCTTAACAACCTTAAGTAGTATAATAGAGAAGAATATAACTAGTAGTTTTAATCCTGTGACTAACAAACTTAGGTAGAAAAAAAATCAAATGGAGCTGCTCATCAATAGTAGTGCTTTTGATTGAAACCTTATAAGAAATAACTCTTAAGAACTGTCTGTATATAAGCTCAAATACTTAACTGGTATAAAATAGAATGTGTTTAGACATGTTTAATTTCAATTGTTATACAATTAAACACAAATAAAACTCAATGTAAATTATGATACCACTTCACAATTTTTCTTTACCTGGATAAAATTTCAGGTAAATTTGTCACTTCATCCTTTGGGCTTTGGGCTTTTATTGGCTTTAGTATAATGTTCAGAGAATGAGATTTATTAGTGTTTTTTTTTTTTTAAGATGGACACAGTATCTTTATTTATTTTATTTATTTTTATGTGGTGCTGAAGATCAAACCCAGTGCCTCACATGCACGAGGCAAATGCTCTGTGGCTGAGCCACAACCCCAGCCCCGAGATTTATTAGTTTTTAAAATAACATTTTTTAACCTTAGTTATTGGTAACTTCAAAGTAGAAATAAATTAGTCTTTAGTACTATAAGCTAGGTCTTCTATAGAAGTGACAAGAATATGATTAAGTTTCTCAGCAATTAAAGTGTTTTGGTTCAGAGGGCTAGAAGAATAAAATTGATAGTAGAGTATTTGTGCAATATGTATGAATGTATGAAGGCCTGGGTTGGACACTCTCACACTCTTCTCCCTACCCACCCCCCCCAAAAAAAAAGAATAATTTTTTTTAAAAAAAAAGCCTTCTATATATTGAGGTCCATATTGAGCCTGGGGTCTTAGAATAATAGTCATTTCTGCCCTATGAGTTTTTAAATTTTCTATTCAAACTAAATCTTCTTGAATAAACAGGTTATCAAGATTAGTGCTTCTCAATTTTAGCAACACATTGGAATCATCTATAAAACTTTTTTATATCTTTATTTTCTTTATTTATTTTTATGTGGTGCTGAGGATCAAACCCAAAGCCTCCCATGTACTAGGCGAGTGCTCTACATGTGACCCACAACCCCAGCCCTCATCTATAAAACTTTTTACAAATACTGCATATCTATATATCTATATATATATATATATAGATATATATTAATTGAATGGGAAGTAAAGCCAACTATGCATCCTGGTAAAAATATCTTTGGAGAATCTAAGATGCTGTCATGTTTAAGAACCACTATTTAGGGGGTTTTGGTGGTTTTATTGTTTATTGTTTTTCACTCTCTAATTCTAATTGAAAGGCCATTAGTAAAAGGAGTTGGTAGTTTGTAATTAGTTTTGTTCTTAATATTCAAATAACTACCAAACTCTTCAATGAAAATTGGGGAATGAATTTTTTAGTATAAAACTAATTGCTTGCTCAGTCCCACTGCATTCTTGACACTTTATCACTGAGGTACATCCCTAACCCATTTGTTTGTTTGTTTGTTTAATATATTGTAGTATTGGGGATTGAATCCAGTGGCACTATACCACTGAGCTACATCCTTAGGCTTTTTTATTTTTTATTTTGAGACACGATCTTGCTAAACTGCCCAAGCTGACCTCAAACTTGCCATCCTCCTTCCTCAGTCTCCTGAGTAACTAGGATTCAATTGCTTGCTTTTTATCAATAGAGCATAATTTGATTGATAAGTTTGGGCAAATAATTTAACATCTCTGGATCTGTTTTCTTTCCTATAAAGTAAGGAGGCAGAACCATCACATAATGACTTCCAATCACTTTTATACCCTGTCCTGTGGAAGTATATTTGTTTTTCTAATTTAAAAATCTTTAGTAATTATTTCTGCTATATATAACATTATTCTGTTTGTACATTATGGTATTAAATTTCTATTCAGCTTTTCAGGATTTTTAGTTGTAATTGACTTAATAATATTGAACACCAGTCTCAGTGCTTTGATACGTGATGGGTATTGAATGAGACTTTCAACCAGATCTCCACCATTCCATCTTGTATTTTAATTAGAGTTCTGTTAAAAAATTTAAGGGTATCACCTTAATTTTCTGACATATAGAACTAAAGCTCAGAACTATAAAAATTAATACCCTGAAATCTGAACTTAGCAAAAGGTATCAAAAAACTTCAATTAAAGTATCAAGACCACATAACATATGTAGCATGTCTGATTTATATCTTAATGATTATATGTAGATGAATAATGATGGCCTACAACTCAGTACTCTGCATCTCATTCAAATCTTACCTAACTGCCTTCCAAAAGCACATTAATTAGAACTGCATATATGTTTACTCATGAGTTCCTAGCCTTCAAAATTAAAAGCATACATACATGTTTTCACCATTAAGCTTTAGATCAGACATCAATTAAATTGAGAACAATTACGACAACACACACATTGTCAACTGTGTTATAAATATAAAACCTTAAAAATTAGTTTTTATTTTAAAAGAAAAAATTATTTTTCATTAACTGTCAAATATTGTTAAATTTTAGATCACAGATGTAGATAAGACTTGAAAATTAAATTAATTCCCAATGCATATATCCTGTATTGTTTAGGATTTGCTAGTATGCACATGCACTCTACCAAGAGTTTTTTAATGCTTAACAACCTTAAGTAGTATAATAGAGAAGAATATAACTAGTAGTTTTAATCCTGTGACTAACAAACTTAGGTAGAAAAAAAATCAAATGGAGCTGCTCATCAATAGTAGTGCTTTTGATTGAAACCTTATAAGAAATAACTCTTAAGAACTGTCTGTATATAAGCTCAAATACTTAACTGGTATAAAATAGAATGTGTTTAGACATGTTTAATTTCAATTGTTATACAATTAAACACAAATAAAACTCAATGTAAATTATGATACCACTTCACAATTTTTCTTTACCTGGATAAAATTTCAGGTAAATTTGTCACTTCATCCTTTGGGCTTTGGGCTTTTATTGGCTTTAGTATAATGTTCAGAGAATGAGATTTATTAGTGTTTTTTTTTTTAAGATGGACACAGTATCTTTATTTATTTTATTTATTTTTATGTGGTGCTGAAGATCAAACCCAGTGCCTCACATGCACGAGGCAAATGCTCTGTGGCTGAGTTATACAATGTTTGAATTTCACATCCCCCAAAACTTTAATATAAAATTTTTATTTTAAATTATGGCAAAACAATCATAGAATGTGGTATGTCCTATGTTATTATAGTTAATAGTTTATGTTATAGAATAAAGTAGTTTAGGTACATGTTTGAATAATTAAGATAGATATATAGATGTGCATATATTATATGATCATATTAATGAAGTCTGTTTTTTTGTTCAAAGCGGAAACTAATTTCTCCCTTAAATGTGAAGGCTACCTGGATTTATATCCTCAATCTTTTCAATCTGTCTCCTAATCTTACCCTTCCACCTCACCCCAACTCTTAAGTAATACTTAGTTGAGTGACATTAAGATGGTTCATGTCATTTTAAATACTTGAACTCCTTAAATTAAAGCATGTCATTGAGTGGCATTTAGCAATTTTAACAATGTCCAGCATCAAACATTTTAGGAGAGGAAAGAACAGTAACACATCCAATGGAAACTGATGGCATTTCAGGAGGCAGAAGGTAATTATTAAAATTAGAATGTTTTAAGTTTGAATAATATTTGGTATTGACCAGCCTTGGTACCCTGGAGCCTGAAGCAAATAATGCTCTGATGGTTCATGAAAGCTGGCTTGGAGAGATGGATCAAGGTAGTAACTACCAGTTTGGTGCTTTACCACACTGACTTAGGCTTATGATCGGGGAGGATAGCTCCAGAATCAATTGTAGGATAAGGAAAGTTCAAGAACCTATTCGCACCCTGACAGAGAAAGCTCTTTTCTATCATTTTCTACTGCTAATGTCAACCATACATGTATTTCTAAAGGTAAAGGAAGTTCTATAAAACTCATTTGTTGCTATAGAGTTGAGGCAGCCAAATAGCTTGGAAGTAAAGAGAAAATTAATTAGATGTAATATTCACTGCCTAACAAGCTGAGCAAACCTCACCACGAAAACAAATAATTTCACTTTTAATAAAAGACTATCCTCTCAGATAATAAATTACCCCTTCTCTTATAGTAAATTTTTAACTATTTTAATTAAGCCTCTTATGGCTATGTTTATCACTACTTGGGTAAAGGATGATTTTAGTAAATTGGTACTGCTAGTTTGAAATCTTGTTATCTCTGCTGTTTTAGCTTGTTCCTTTTTTGAACTATCACTGAAGCTCTTTACTGTGAAGTAACACACTGTTCTTTTTTACCTGATCATAATCCAAGTTGGAATTTGTGAGTGGTTGTCTATTCCATTATAGGAAAAGATTTTTTTTTTTCCCAAACAAAAAAGCAGGTATCCCTTTAGAAATTTTGGCTAATTCAAACAGGGCAAAATCCTGTGACTTCAAGAATTTCTTGGTATAAGAGGTTATTAAAGGCATTCTTTTGAATTACCACTTTGTTTCTGATATGGAAAAAATGTAATTTGATAGTTTTAAGCTGATAAATACTGAAAAAATTATCTATGTACATTTGCAGAAATATTTCCTAAGTTTACTGGAGTAAAACAGAATGATTCACCTCCTAAAGAGAATGTAAAGGTAAATTAATTCTTTTATTTATAACTAAGAATTGAAAACAATATATATGCTACAACTCATTGGTATAGTGATAGCTTTCCTTAAAATTGTTTTCTATTTATTTACATGAAAAAAAGTTGTCACTATTTTCAGCTCAACTGTTTCAAAGATTTCTTCCTAAAAACATTTTGACTAGAGGAACTATTTGGCTTAATAGTTCTAATAAGATGTAGCTATTATGTAAGTCAAAACAGATAAGTAGAACAAATAGGAGCTTTAGCTGAGCCTTGAGAATCTGAATACAAAAAAAAAAACTGCCTTGGTAATTCCCAGTGTGCACTCAGTTGTATATGCACAAAATAATGTGTACTTTTTCAACAAAAGCTAGTGGAAAATGATAGGGTTTCTATAGATAAAGTTTATAACCAATGGCTACCAAGTTTAGCACTTCTTTGTGTGATTAGTAATTAACAATCAAAAAATAGAATTTTATTTTCTTAACTAGTAATTCAAGTAGTTATCCTCATAAAATTTGTATCCTGTACTCATCTCAAATACAGCCAGGCATGGTGGCACATGCCTATAGTCACAGCTACTTAGGAGGCTGAAGAATAAGGATCACTTGATCCCATGAGTTCAAGACCAGTCTGGGAAACATAATGAAACCTTGACAAACAGAAAAAGAAAGAAAAGAATTATAGCAAACTTATATAATAACATTTAATTAGGTGAGATAAATAGAACAATAAATAATTCTTGAAAGAATTCTAAATTGTGAAAAGGGAAGCAATCATAGTTAAGAAATTATATAAGAATGTTTAATAATCTATAGTTATGATTTTTTTAAGAAAATGCAAGAATGTATGCTGCCTGAAGGAGGGAAAGCCTTCACAGAAGAGGTAATCCTTAAAATGGGTTTTAAATGATTAGGATATTGATATACAAATCAGGGACTTATTTAAAAAAAAAACAAAACAGAATAGCATGAAGAGAGGCAAATGAGGCACAACAGGTATTTTTAGGGTCATGTGGTAGTTGAGGGCATTTGTAAGGAATTAAAGGGTTTGTAAGAGATAAATGGGGAGGGCTTCAGATACCCAAGTGAAGTGTTGGAATATTTAACTTGGTAGGCAAATAGTTGTTCTTTCTAAAATATGAATTATCTGCCTTGCTATAAGTATTAATGGAATCAAAACATTAGGTCAAACTATGAAGAAACTGTTGAAGCCTTCTTCATACAATCTCTGTTCAAACTTTTTTCATTCTCACTCACTGAGGAATAAAATGCCCATTTATGATTAAAGAGAGTATATATTAATTTATGTTTGTGAGTGAATGTGTATATTTGTAGATTCAGAAAGTGATCATTTGCTGATTTAACCTTGAACATCTGACTTGGGCTTGGGTCTACATTTTTGTTGAGGTACACCTTCTATGGCATTTAGTTTACTCAGGATAATATAGGTGTTATTCATTGACTTGCCTTCTCTACTGATTTGCTCCAATCCCCTTAATAGATGGAGGGGGAAAAATGATTTACCTGTGTGCTGTCTACAACTCAAAGCTTAGTAGAAAATGTTATTAATCTTGGTACTATAACAGCTTGCCACTGAATAGGTGTGAGATTTAAGGTAAATTACTTCTATTATTTTTATGTCCTACTGTAAACCATAATAGAGAAAATAATTATACCTAATTTATGGGATTGTTAACAAGATTTAAAAACTTGGCTTGGTGCCTTACATGTGGTAAGCATTAAATAAATGTTAGCTATTTCATTCAGCAGCTTTTATTTAATAAACAGTTAACTGTTTAGTTAACTGAATCAGAATTTGTTGATAGTCTTGAGTTGACCATGATATAATTTTAGATTTCTTCCCTAATGTCTGTAAGTCAGCAAGGACAAAAGGATAAAGGAAATGATTTGGTCTCTAGAATTGGTATAAAAGATCAATTTTTATTTCAGTGGATCACAGGAACCTTTTGAAAACCTTCTAAAACTATTAAGAAGTACTACTGCTTAATAACATGTGTAAATTTTCTGTATGTACTAGCAACTAAGACTATAAGCTACATGATGGTCAAGTTATTTAATCTTTCTAAACCTCAGTTTCCCCATTAGTATGATAAGGATAATTATACCTATGGGTTTGTGTGACTTAGATAAATTTATTCATTAAAGCATATTCTTGTCTTTTGTTTTTCTGTTCTTTTATTCTTCTTGTATTATTAAAACTCTGAAAGATAACTTTGTCTTTACAGATGCAATCTTCTGTGCAAGATACAAGCTCTGCTAAAACTACTCTTCTTCATCGGATCACAAATATGTGTGCCATACCACCAAATCACCACCAGTCAGCATTTGGTTATCAAGAATTAGAACATTTACAGAGTGTGAAAAACATTTCACCTTTACAAATTTGGCCTCCTTCAGGTAAGAAACTAACAAGTAAATACTGAGAAATTGCCTTCTAAACTTATATATGACAGTGCTAAGGCCATCATAAATTTTATTGCACATCTGAGAAATATTGAAAATCGTATCTGATAAATTCTAGGCTGGAAATAATCACTGTAGCACATTGTTAGAAATCGTCTACTTCATAATAGCAAATAAATAGTCAAAAATGTTCTTATTTTATATTTAAAACTAATTGTATTCAGTAGTCATTATCACAGATTTTAGGAAAGACAGTTTTCAATTTTCAATCTGTAGGTTCTCATATCTTTAAAATTGGTGTTTGAGAACTGCCATGTTTAGCAGGGCTTAGTTAATATTCCTGGTTACCATCATAGAGGAAAGAAAGACTTGAAATTATAAATGCCAGTTTGAATAAGATAACTATGTGAACAAGTATTCTCATTTTATTAAAGTAAAAACATTGTTTCAGAATGTTCACTTAATTATTAAAGTAAAAACATTGTTTAAGAGCAAAATGAATCTGAAACTATAGCTTTTTGCTATTAAACCAAATATTTGTGATTTATTTTGATTCTCTTGAACAAAACATTTTTCTATTTGAGCAAAACAGTATTATTTCTTATATTAAATAAATTAAGATAACTAATTTGCATTTTAAAAATATTTTATTATAGTTTTTTGTATAAAGGCATTAAGATAGGAAAAGAACATAAGTTATCACTATTTGCGGATGATATGATCCTATACCTAGAAGACACAAAAGGGTCTACAAAGAAACTACTAGAGCTAATAAATGAATTCAGCAAAGTAGCAGGATATAAAATCAACATGCATAAATCAAAGGCATTCCTGTATATCAGTGACAAATCTTCTGAACTGGAAATGAGGAAAACCACACCATTCACAATATCCTCAAAAAAAAATAAAATACTTGGGAATCAACCTAACAAAAGAGGTGAAAGATTTATACAATGAAAACTACAGAACCCTAAAGAGAGAAATAGAAGAAGATCTTAGAAGATGGAAAAATATATCCTGTTCATAGATAGGCAGAACTAACATCATCAAAATGGCGATATTACCAAAAGTTCTCTATAGGTTCAATGCAATGCCAATCAAAATCCCAATGGCATTTCTTGTAGAAATAGATAAAGCAATCATGAAATTCATATGGAAAAATAAAAGACCCAGAATAGCAACAGCAATTCTAAGCAGGAAGTCTGAATCAGGAGGTATAGCGATACCAGATTTCAAACTGTACTACAGAGCAATAGTAACAAAAACAGCATGGTACTAGTACCAAAACAGGCAGGTGGACCAATGGTACAGAATAGAGGACACAGAAACCAATCCACAAAATTACAACTATCTTATATTCGATAAAGGGGCTAAAAGCATGCAATGGAGGAAGGATAGCATCTTCCACAAATGGTGCTGGGAAAACTGGAAATCCATATGCAACAAAATGAAACTGAATCCCTTTCTCTCACCATGCACAAAAGTTAACTCAAAATGGATCAAGGAGCTTGATATCAAATCAGAGACTCTGCATCTGATACAAGAAAAAGTTGGCTACGATCTATGTACTGTGGGGTCGGGCTCCAAATTCCTCAATAGGACACCCATAGCACAAAAGTTAATAACTAGAATCAACAAATGGGACTTACTCAAACTAAAAAGTTTTTTCTCAGCAAAAGAAACAATAAGAGAGGTAAATAGAGAGCCTACATCCTGGGAACAAATCTTTACTCCTCACACTTCAGATAGAGCCCTAATATCCAGAGTATACAAAGAACTCAAAAAATTAAGCAATAAGAAAACAAATAACCCAATCAACAAATGGGCCAAGGACCTGAACAGACACTTCACAGAGGAGGACATACAATCAATCAACAAGTACATGAAAAAATGCTCACCATCTCTAGCAGTCAGAGAAATGCAAATCAAAACCACCCTAAGATACCATCTCACTCCAGTAAGATTGGCAGCCATTATGAAGTCAAACAACAACAAGTGCTGGCGAGGATGTGGGGAAAAGGGTACACTTGTACACTGCTGGTGGGACTGCAAATTGGTAAGGCCAATTTGGAAAGCAGTATGGAGATACCTGGGAAAGCTGGGAATGGATCCACCATTTGACCCAGCTATCGCCCTCCTCGGACTATTCCCTGAGGATCTTGAAAGAGCGTACTATAGGGATACTGCCACATCAATGATCATAGCGGCACAATTCACAATAGCTAGACTGTGGAACCAACCTAGATGTCCTTCAATAGATGAATGGATTAAAAAATGTGGCATTTATACACAATGGAGTATTACTCAGCACTAAAAAATGACAAAATCATGGAATTTGCAGGGAAATGGATGGCATTAGAGCAGATTATGCTAAGTGAAGCTAGCCAATCCCTAAAAAACAAATGCCAAATGTCTTCTTTGATATAAGGAGAGCAACTAAAAACAGAGCAGGGAGGAAGAGCATGAGAAAAAGATTAACATTAAACAGGGACGAGAGGTGGGAGGGAAAGGGAGAGAGAAGGGAAATTGCATGGAAATGGAAGGAGACCCTCATTGTTACACAAAATTACATATAAGAGGATGTGAGGGGAAAGGGAAACAAAAATCAAGGGAGAGAAATGAATTACAGTAGATGGGGTAGAGAGAGAAGATGGGAGGGGAGGGGAGGGGAGGGGGATAGTAGAGCATAGAAAAGATAGCAGAATACAACAGTCACTAATATGGCAATATGTAAAAACGTGGATGTGTAATCGATGTGATTCTGCAATCTGTATACAGGGTAAAAATGGGAGTTCACAACCCACTTGAATCAAATGTATGAAATATGAATATCAAGAGCTTTGTAATATTTTGAACAACCAATAAAAAAAGTTAAAATTAAAAAAATATAGTTTAATTTGTAAATGTTTAGTTTTTATTGTATGAGAACTGTAAGCATAAAGAATATATACCTATTTTTATGTTTGTTCAAATATAAGAAATATTAAAATAAAAATATATTGTTTTAAAAAAAGAAATTATCTACTTTATAGCCATAGATAATTATTACATTTGAAAGAAAGAAAAGTTACTATATAGCTTATACTCAATTTACTTTCACATGAATACTATATATTGACAGATAGGTGATATAAAAAAGTCTTATCACTGCCCAAACACATTCTACCAAGTTCCAAGTTCTTAGCAGACTTGGGAAATGCTGCTATAACAACTGTGCATATGTAACAAAGGTAGACTGCAATGAGGAAAAGATATTTAGAGATTATGTGTGTAGAGAAATGAGGCTGGATACACATACACACACACACACACCACACGCACACATTCACACATATATATTTTATATGTGTATATTATTTTATATATTTACTTTACAGTTAAGGAAACTTGGGCTAGAAAAACTTACCTAGTAGTGGTTCCTGTTTACTGAAAACATCTCCCAAAATTGGCTAAATTTTTGTATTGTTAGATTGATTTGATTTTATAGATACCTTAACTGTCTCAACTTGGTTGTGGTGGGGAGCGAGGGCTTGATGTGTGGCACAAAGCTTACTTCTCTTGTTATCACTGAGCCCAGCTTAGAATGCCTAAACCATGAGACACTAATGTATTTAGACCCAGATTGGGCAGGTGTGAATTTTCCTTGTCCACATCTCCTGTTTCCTGGTTTCCACTTGGCCTTGCAAGGGCAGAAGTAGCTTTCAAGCAGAAAAACTTTCTAAGCTGTTTTTACTACAACACAGATTTAGGAAGAAGAGAGGTTTTGATTCTCTTTTGTTGCTTCCAGTATAAAACTCCCTACTATTTTGAGTATTCTACTTTGTCTTAATATATCTCATCATTGTGGGAAAGGGAAAGGAGATCAAGAGAAAAAAATACCAGAGGCTAGAGGGTATAGTTTAGTGGTAAAGCACATTCTTCGCATTCTTGAAGTCCTAGGAATTTGGGGTCAATTCCCATCAACCAAGAGAGAAATATCTAATGCAGCAATAAAGGGCCTCCTAGGAAGAGGAATGAACAAATCTCCAAAGTAGGAAATATTTATATTTATAGTCATCTGTCTCTGGAAATAGATTTTAAGATACTCAGAGAAAAGTATGAAAATATGATAGTTCTCAGTCATAATTGAATAGGAGCATAACAAAATTAAGATTTTAGAGATTGGCAATGTGTTCAATGGTAGAGCATTTGCCTACCATGTGTGAGAACCTGGGTTTGATCCCCGGCACTACAAAACTACAACAGCAAAGATTTTATTAGGCTAAGATTGATGCTTAAGAAACAGAAAATTCTATATATACAGCTATAGAGCTATAAAGGGTTGTGACATTAACTGTTACTTAGAAAATTCAGTTAACCTCTCAAGGCTTTAATTTCCTTTTATTTATAATAATAATAAAAGTGACTTCATAGAGTCTTAAGGATTCACATATAAAGTTCAAGGTATAAGTGGTTTTCTTCAAGTAAGTACTCAATATATGTTAGCTATGCTATTATTCTTATCCCAAGGACAATTGTACCCCTTAGGGCACAATTCTTGAGGTTATGGATTGAATGTTAGTGTACCCCAAAATCCATTTGTTAAAATCCAATTCCTAATGTAATGATATTTGGCATTGTGCCCTTTGAGAGGAAACTAGGTCTTGAGGGTCCTCTTGAATGGGCTTAGTGCCCTATCAAAAGAGCAGAGAGTTAATTTACCCTCTTCTATGTGAAGACCCAGCAAGAGGGCCCTTCATAACGCAGGAACTCCAACCTGCTGGTACCCTGATCTCATTCCAGAACAATGAGAAATAAATACTTGTTGTTGAAGCCAATAAATGAATAAACAATAGGTAGAGTCAGTTTGGGAGGGGAGATGTTACAGAATATCTAACTGGAAATTTAAAAAACAGAAATGGGTTTCTGGAACTAACAGGGTTTAACAGGAAATATGATTTAGGAATTTTCAATATGCAGAACTACTCAAAACCACAAAAATGAATGGAAATACCCAGGAAAATGTGCAGATTAGAAAGAAAAAAGGCCAAGGACAAAATTCTAGGAAATAAAACATCAATAAAAGTAGAAGAAATTAGTAAATTAAAAAAAAAAAAGAGGTAATCTAGGACAACTTCTCAAGAGGCTGAGGCAGGAGGATCACTTGAGCCCAGAAGTTTGAGGCCATCCTGAGCAATATAACAAGACTGTGTCTCAAAAAATAGAAAAAGAAGAAGAAAGATTTGTAGAAGGAAGTCATCATCAAGAATATTGTATATTACAGAATATTCAAGCAGGATTAAGGAATGAAGACAGGATTAAAATCGGCAATGTGAGAAGTTTTGCTTTGGCAAAAGCTTTTTGAGTAGCCAATGTAATTGGACCAGAAACCAGACTGCTGTAAGTTGAAAAGTAATAGAATCTGGGTGTAGTGAATATTAATCAGTCGTTGAAGAAGCTTGTTGGTGACAAGGATGGGAAGATAGCTGGTGCTTTTAACAGGGAGACTTTTTTTTTTTTTTTTTTTTGAGCAGTAGAAGGTTTTTTTGGGGGGGCTTGGTGGGGTTTTTGTTTTGTTTTTTCTTTGTTTTATTTGTATATGGACACAATACCTTTATTTTGTTTATTTATTTTTATGTGGCACTGAGGATCAAACCCAGTGCCTCGCACTTACTAGGCAAGTGCTCTACCACTGAGCCACAACCAGTCCTCCTTTTTTTTAGGTTTTTAATTTTAAAGATTTGAATATTTGAGGTCTGATTAGGAAAAAAAATCAAAGTAGGAAAATGTTGCTGTTTTCACTAGAGTATGTAATTATAGAAGAGTGATAATGATAACCTTGTCTTTGAAAAGGAATAAGGATAATGAAAAATAATGGTAATAATGCAAACAAGATGTTCTTTTATTTCTATCTTAAGAAAACATCCATCTGTGAAAAGACAGACTTCATAACTAAGTCTTCAGTAAGGATCAGTCTCTTGGTTTTTTTAAAGTCTCAGTGTTTATCACTCCATCCATCAACTAGGATCAGTCCTTTTTATCACCTCTATATGTTTATTTGATACCTTGGAAAACAATGCTGGGTAGGGGAGTTTGGATGATGCTAGAGTTGACTATTTGTCAACTGTAGGTGGCGCTATGACCAAGGGAAATGTCAGATATATAAACTGAAGTGTAAAATAGAGAAATTTACTTTTCTGGAGTTTAATCTCAATTGAAATCAGTTTTTTGTTTAAACCTCATCTTAAATTATAAAAGTAATCAATTTTATTCTGAAGTTTACTTATTGGCAAATGGTTTGACAAAGTTAGTGTTCTTCAACCTCTTCAACCTCCCCCCCCCCCATTTTTATTTCTATCATGAAATGAAAGATGTCTCATTTTTTTTCTAAATTTTTGGTCACAAAAGATTACTAATCTTACTATCCTTATAATTTAATCTTTCCTCATCTCATGAAAATCTCCATTGACTTGTATTGTTTTTTAATACAAATATTTATATTGTCATATCAACATGAATTCTCACAGCAAATTAAAAGGTAAATTAATGAGTTTGCCAACTTGTAGAATTGAATAACATGCATATAAAGTAAAAATAACATGCACTAAAAGAAGCAAAGTTAAATTTGAGGAGATGAGAGAAAGGCAGGTGCATATTTTACAGAATTAATATTTGAGTTGGGCATTGGAAGAAAAAATAAGACTTTAAGACTAACAGACATTGCAAATGGAGGAAACAATGTATGTGAAAGTATTTGGGCAACTAATAATTCAATGTGATTAAAGCTTTGGTTGGATAAACAGGGATGTGGGGAAATAAATTTGGAAAGGTAGGTCAGGTGAAGATTGTCAAAAACTTGGACTCTGGATACTTTGGGCATAATGATAAGGGTGTAGTCAATGGAGTTTTTGTTTTGTTTTGTTTTGTTTTGTTTGAGCAAAGGACCTGCAATATTATATAGTATAGTTGAAGGAATAGATCATAGAGACCAGAGAAGGAGGAGACCAGTTGGACTGTTAAAGCAGGCAAAAAATTAAGTGTCAATGATGGAAAGAAGGTAAAGACAGAAATTTGAAAGAAATTGTGATGAGGAGTTCTGCAAATTAGGGACATATGTAGGTTTATTTAACAAAGGGAGGGATAAAGCTTTGGTGGATCCAAAGGGTACTGGCTAGATACTGGTCCAGCTAAAGAGCTCTAGAATGAGATGAAGAACGGGTTTCTGAATAAAGGTGAGTTTTATAGTGTTTTAAGGTTTCAGAGGAGCATTCACACAAAATATTTCCCAGAGAGTTATATGCATGACACGCTTTCTAGGCTTCTTTGACTCTATTTTCTGGATCATTCCATCTCCCTGAATATTCCTTACTGGTATTCCTGATTACCCAGATGAGTTATATCCTAAATGTTAAGCTTCTTATGTTTTTATTCTACTCCAGAGATTCCAAAGCACAGGCTTACTGAGCTAGCATTCCCCTAAGCTCTCATAGGAATGGTGTGAAGCAGCCTTCCCCATTACCCAGGTGTGCCATGCCTTTATCATTTTCTACATATTTTGACATGGAAAAGGTTGGGAAGAGATGCACTGTATATTCTTTCATGTAATCTTGGTGCCTTTGACTTCCATTCTTATTTTTATGTCTCAAACATACCTATCATGTTTATACAACTCCAGTTGAGTATCATTACTTAAATATCATATAGGCATTTCAAACACATCCTGTAAAAATTGAAATCTCCTTTTATAGTCCCCAGATTTTGGTATTCCTCCCTTTTTATCATAGTACTGGGGATTGAGCCCAGGGCCACGGTACCATTAAGCTATGCCCTCAGCACTACTTATCTATTTTCTTTTGTTTTGAGCCAGGGTCTCTCTAAGTTGCCAAGGCTGGCCTAGAACTTATGATCCTCCCACCTCAGCCTCCCAATTCCCTGCAATTATGGGTATGCACTATTGTGCCCAGTGATATTTTCATTTTAATTTGTGATAATGGCACTATTACCACTTGCCAACTTAAGAGTCAGAAAATCAAGAAACATTTTTAGAATTTACTTCACCTGCCATACATACTCTTTCTACTTTTTAAAAAATATCTCACCCCTGGCAGAGAAGGTATATAGTTTTGTGCCTGTAGCTTTTCTTCCTATTTTCCCATTTCTTGTTGAACTGAGAAAACATCAGTGTATTAAAGAAGAAGAGAGGAGAAGAAGGAGGAAGAGGAGGAAGAAGAAAACATCACTATAGTGGGCTGTATAGAGATATACAAATTTAAAAATTTTTTTTCATTCATACATCCTTCAACAAGTGTTTTGTTCTTCCTATGCTCACTCCTATCCCTTGATGTTTCTTGCTCCTTTCAAACCTTAGCTTCATTTATAGCCAGAGAAGAGGTCAGATACTCTTTGGTAACAGAAACCTAGGTGTAAATTCCTACAATGTGTAAATATATATAAATGGCTAGGATTTTGTGAGCTGGAATCAGTTAACAAAGACAGCCACTCAGTTTTGATTTGTCCCCTCTGTACTTTTACCACTATTTGGAACCTATAGAAAAGGGCTAGAGAGAATTGAAACAGAAGCAGTCAAGTAAGTTTCATGTATCAGGATGCTCTTGATTGCAAATGACAGAAAAATCAGCTCAAACTGCCTTTGTTGCCATGCATAGCCAGCAAGATAGCCATGATTTGATTAGGGTTCAGACTCTTATTTCTATAGTTTATCTTCGCCCATAATAATAAATGAAATATTTGTATGAAAGCTTAAGAATTAATGGGATTATGCTTGAATTGTGATTAACATTAATCCCCAGCACACACAAACATGCACATGAGTGTGTGTGCGCACACACACACGAAGAAAGAGAATTAACAAGATTTCATAGTTTGTTCTCTTCACCTCAAAGTCAATTTTTTTCATTTCTTACACCATCATCTCACTAGCCATTATTGCCAGATATGTCTGGTATCTTAGTTCCTCTGTTCTCTGTGTTATGGTTGTTCTCAAATGGTCCACCCCAGCATCCTTCCCTGAGATCCCTATATTGGTCTGTTCTTAAATGAGTTACTGATTGGGAGATGGAATTGTTGTGATTGGTTTGACCTAGTCAAGATGCACCTGTAGAGCTGAAGTCAGTCTACAAACTGGGAAAGCTGTATAGCAAAGAACAGGCAAATAGATTTTGTTGGTTCAGCCAAAATGCCACTATACTTTATGATGACCAGAATAAAACTAGACAATAACAAAAAGAAAACAAAGGAGGTCACTTTCAAGTGAAAAATGTTTATTTTTTTCAGTACAAGTCCCTGATGAAAAATATTCCAAAGTTAAGATGCGTCCAAAAATTAAACATTTTGTTTTCATAGTGTCTGACCTGAAAGGAGAAAGAAAAGCAAATTCTGGATAAATACTAGAAAATACTTTGATTGTACCATTCTAAATATGTGTTTTCAGGTGATTCCAAGCAACTCTTGAATGGCCCAACTATGATACATCCATCTGGTCATAATGATACAATGGTGTTAGAATCTGAATGTCAAGTTCCTGTGCAAAAGGTAAAAAGTAATATTATTTTTTTCTCATAAATCTTAAAGAGATTCAAAATTGAATAAGAATTGGAATAAGAGATTTTAAGCCCTAGTTTGAATGAGATTGAAACTTTAGATGTAATTTTTGCATATATAAGTTTTAAAAACTAGATGTGAGCAACAACTGTTCCCCCATCCACTATCATCAGTCCTTTTTCTTTTTATATATTTTCTTTATATACACACACACACACGCACACACATACACACACATAGAGTGTGTGTATTTATATGTGGTGCTGAGAATCAAACCCAGTGCCTCACACATGATAGGCAAGTGCTCTTCCACTGAGCTAGAACCCCAGCCACTATCATCACTCTTTATGCTTAGGTTTAATTTCAAATTCTATGACGTTTTTTGTATTTGCTGCACACACATTTATGTATATATATGTGTATACACTAGGGACTGAACCCTGGGCCTTGCTTGTTTGGGAACACTTATGAAATATAGCATTACTAGATTTGAGCATACTGATTTGGTCCTTGTGCTTGAATCATTGATTTCTTACATAATGCTCTACTAGTAAATATTATCATTAAAGACTATGTTTAATGTAGGTATTTTGTTACTAATAAGGATGAAATAGAACCATTAAACATTACCTTTTTTGACAACCAACATTAATTTTGTTTTGTTGTTGTTTCCCTTAACAGTGTCATCCAACATCCTTAGTTCAGAAAGGATAATGCTACAGAGTTTCTTAAATGTTTGTTTTCCTAAACACAATAATCTTTGTATTTCTAATTTAATAAAACTTTGTAATTTTGACTGGTCCAAAATAAAGTTTGAAAAGAAGAAGGAGATTTCCAAAAGGGCAAGAGCAAAAATAAGCAGTAGAACATAAAGTTATGTTACACCATTGAAGTTTGTACTATCAGTGAAAGTGACATGTATATTCTTTTTTTGTTCCCAATGCTTAGCATATAGTAGGAACTAAAATATTTGGTTGAAAGATTTAGAAGAAATGTGATTGTGTAGCTTGTTCTCTACATACACACGCACGCGCGCGCACACACACAAATGGTCAAACAATTTCAATATTGACATCATGTCCCAACCCCACTCCCTGCTTGTTCCCTCATCATAAGCAATATTAACATTAATTGAAGAGAGAGGCTATAGAATTTTGGTACTCCCAGAAATCTCTGGAATTAATCTTCATGCATAAACTGCAGTCCAGATATGGTTCAAGCCCAAGTAAGTGCTGAAATGAAAATGAATGATTTCAACAAACTCTTAACATCTCATCTTTCTTTTATTCAGAATCATTAGCTTTGTCCTTCTTCTCTTATTTACTTCTGCCTTAAGTGATAGAATCTCTTCTTGCCAAACTTTTCCATATCTATTCTTTATTTTTGTTCAGTCAATAGATTTATTGTAGAGCTTCTTGCTGTGTCTATAACCTCTATCCATTATTCTTTTTTGTCATATTTTCCCACTACCTGTTTGCATCTTAAATTGCAGTTTCTCAACTATAGAATGTTGATATGTTAGACTGGGTAAATCTTTGTTAAGGGTAAACCTGTATGTTGTGGGATGTTTAATAGGAACCCAAACCAATGTCCACTAATGTTGTGTTACTCTTTCACTCACTTCAATGTGACAACCAAAAATGTTTATAGACATTAACAAATGTTTGCTTTGGTGGGAAGGAGGTGACAAACTCACTCCCAGCTGAGATCCAGTGTTGGAATTTTTACATGGCATCTAGCCATGCCCCCATTCCTATAATTCACACTCTTCAGAGGAACCATTGACTTAATTTTTTGAATTGGTTCATTTTACCATATGTAAAAAATAGAATATACTCTGGCATAATTATAAAAGCACAGAATATGATTTGCTCTATTCAGTCCCCAATATTTCCCCTTCCCCTCCCTTTCTCCCAACCCCTGTTCCCTTTCCTCTAGTCTGTAGATCTTTCTGCTATTTACTTATAGTTTTTTTTAATTAGTGTCTTGTGGATATACGTGAGGGCGAGATTCACTGTGGTATATTCATATATGTACATAGGAAAGTCAGGTCAGATTCATTCCACTGACTTTCCCTGTCCCACCCATCCTCCCTCCTTTAATTCCCCTTTGTTTACTCCTCTGATCTTATTCTTTTTTTATTCCCCACCCATTATCCCCTTGTTTTGGATTAGCTTCCACATGTCAGAGAAAACATTTGACTTTTGACTTTTTTGTGGACTGGCTTATTTCTCTTAGCAAAATAGTCTCCAGTTCCATTCATGTTACCAGCAAATGTCATAAAGTCATTCTTTAAGCTGAGTAATACTCCATTGTGTATATATATCACATTTTCTTTATCCATTCTGTTAAGGGGCACCTGGGTTGGGAACCAGTGACTTCTAAAATAGCTTTGTCCCTCCCAGTGCCTTGATAGGATGTGAAACCCCAGGGTCTTCTACTACTACTTTGTGATTAAATATCTACCATCATGACTTCAGTTTATGGTATCTATGCAGATGATTCAAAATATACTTTTAAATCTGACCTCTTATAAGTTATAATCATTTTTGACAATTCTCAATTTCCTACAGTGAAGGAGTTGCTAAATTCTTTGGGATTTACCTCTAAGGATAATTCATTTTCCCTTTTCATTACCAAAACCAAACCTTATTGCTTTAATATTTTTTCTTTACCATTGTTGGATAAACTCTTATAAAGGCCAACCAGACTTGTAATGTATAATATGGTTATTTTAACATTATTAATTGGTCCTGGTATGTCTCACTTGTGATTCTCTGTGTTCTAATCCATTAAGCCTCAGCATTCTTATTTTAGTTCTCTTGATCATGTTTTTCATCTGCATAAATGCTTTAGTGATTTGCAACGTCTGCCTTTAAAGATTAAACAGATCTATGTTGTGATCCCAATTTATCTTATCAATCTTAATAAAATGTGCTTTATAATTAATTTAAACTGAATTACTCATTATCTCTAGACACACCTACTAATATCTTTGATTGTGTTCTTTGTTCCATAAGGAATGCTTTCCATCCTCATGTCTGCCTATCAGAATTCTTTTCTTTTATTCACAATACCTGAAAAACTTTCCTATGTTTCAATCCCACATATAAGCTTTCTTATTTTAGAGTCTGTTAAAATTTTATCACAATAAAATAACAATTTCAGTAATTTTAGGGCACCGAGGCAGAGACCAGGGTTTCATTCTCTTTGTTCCCTATTAAATATACTATCAGGTATTACCTGTCCTGTTTCAAATCCCTGTTGGAAAGTGAGATTCTTCAGCTGAGTAAATATTAGTCACATGATCCCTGGAACTGGTATTTAACCAATTCCATTGGTAAGGACAAAAATAGATTGTCCTGTTGAATAGCAAAAACTTCAAAAGCATAATTGAATGACCATTGATGAAAGTCCCTATATATGTGGTAATATTTGAAGAGAGATGTTCTAATTACTTTGGGACACAAATTTATCAGTCATAAATATTCTTTTGCCTTGTATGGAAAATTAGTATAATGTTATACTAATATTTCATGAAAATGTATCAAAAGAGCAATCAATCATAATTATTAAGGAGATAATCATAAAGTCATCAGGATATTGCATAATCCTTTCTCTTTACCATTGTTATACAGATTAACTCTTAGAAAGGCCAGCTAGACTTGAAATGTCCAGTATGGTAGCCTCTAGTCCCAGGTGGCTACTAAGTCCTTGAAAAGTGTCTGTAGCAACTGAGGAACTAAGTTTTACTATTTATTTTTTACTTAATTTGAATTTAAAACTAATACAATTCAGTTATTGAAAAACATAAATACGTTTGGAGCAACTCAGCTATATGTAACTACTTTAAGTTATGAATTTACTTACAGCCTAATTGTTGCTAATCACTTTTGTATTTGAAATATGGTATGAGCATAAATAACAATTCTGAGGACTTAGTATGAAAAAAGAAATATCTTAAGTCTTTTATATTGATTACATATTGAAATAGTAATACTTTGAGTATATTTGTTAAGTAAAATATAACAATTAACATTTAAGTTTAAAAGACTTTAAATGTGTCTACTAAAAATTTTAAATTACATATATATCTATTGGGCAGCATTGATCTCAACCATGGCATATGTTAAGAATGGTAACTACATCCATTAATTTTTGTCGTCTTACTCTAAAAGGAAAGACATGTCAGAGAGTTTTCAACGAATCCCATGCCTTTCCAACCTTATGGCATAATCTTACTTCAACTCTTGTTAATCACTTGTGTGTGTGTTTTTATTTCCCTATAGGATCATAAGTATCTTGATTACAGTGAGAAGTGTACTTATTTTTATGCTTCTTGCAAGTTATTATGTAGTTAATACATATGTCTCACGTTAAGTTGAAATAGTTGGGGACTATGCTATTTGGTCTTCAATGAATTAAGTTTATATAATTTGTTATCCTGTTTTCATTTTCCTTCTGACTTTAGTGGCCCTTTTAGTAAAGGTGCATAAAGGCCTTTGGAATCTTAATTTCATCTAATACTGTATCAAAAGATATTGTCTTCCAAAATTTGGTTGGCATCTACAGACTGAATCAAATATTTATTTTAGGATATAAAGATTAAGAATGCTGATTCTTGGAAAAGTTTAGGCAAACCGGTGAAAACACCAGGTGTACTGAAATCCTCAGATGAGCTCTTCAATCAATTTAGAAAAGCAGCAATAGAAAAAGAAGTAAAAGCTCGAACACAAGAACTAATACGGAAACACCTGGAACAAAATACAAAGGAACCAAAAGTATCTCAAGAAAATCAGAGGTCTGTAATTTACTTGGTTAAAGGAGCCTTTGGGAGGTATAGAAATGTATTTTAAAATATTTGTCAAGTGACTATGGCTCATCTATTTAGTAAAATACGGAATAAATTGTAATGGCAAAAATACATTTTTATTAATATTTTTTCTAAGTGATAGTATCTGTTTTGAAGAAGACAGAAATAATCAAGTCATTAAGCTGGTAAAGATACAGATATTACCAAGTTATAACAACATTATTTTCCAGAAATGTCCTAAAGTTTTTCCGTCCTATAAGAGATAGTGGTTATCTTGGTCACAGTTTTCTAAAAGCTTTTGTTATTATTGTTGTTAATATATATTACCCTATGTAAAATTTGACACATCGAAAATAAACTAAAAGCAATGTCATAAAAAAGGAAAACAGGTATCTAGTGCATTATTTTATATTTATTATTTAGTAATGTGTATTCATATTAAAAATTTTTAAGGAACTTGAAAACTACTTTGAATTTTACTATTTCTTTAAGGGACCTCGGAAATGGATTGACTCTAGAATCTTTTTCAAATAAAATGCAAAACAAATGCAATGGAGAAGAGCAGAAAGAACATCAGCAGTCATTGGATGCTCAAGATAAATGCAAGCTGTGGCTTCTCAAAGACCGTAATTTAGCAAGGGAGAAAGAGCAAGAACGAAGGAGGAGAGAAGCAGTAAGTGAATTTTAGTTTGCTAAACCTAACAAAGATTTAATAGAGCTTTGTCTTTTATATATTCAAAGATGCATTCAGGGTGGTTTTTTTGTTTTTTAGTAACAGTGGAGTTACCTATATAGTGGGAATCAGGTTCTACATTCGGCTTAAAATAAAAATGTTATAGTCAAAAGAAGCAAGCATAATGTAGTGTTGCTCCTCATGCTACTAAAACCCTGTGGTTCAAATCCTGAGTTCTGTTATTTACTAGACTTTTGAACTCTGGCAGTTCATTTAATCTCTGTATGACCAGTTTGCTCCGTTATAAAAAGTAAATAATAATGCCTGTTATGAAGATGAAATGAAATGAAATAGCATGCATTAAGCACAAAATGGCACAAAAGTGATTGGCCATATATTATTACTCTTGAAAAATCTGCAAATCACTTATGAGTTGTAGCCAAAAGATATGCTATTTGTTTCAGATCAGTGTTTCTTTAATTAACTGCTAGATTAAGAACCTTTCATTTAGGAGTTCTAATGTACATATTTTAAAAACTAAAATTAAGTCATTTTAACCATGAGTTTATTTTAGAAGTATTTATAATTTAGCTTTCAAATATTTGGGAATTTTCTGACTAATGATTTCTGTTAGTAGTTTCTAATGTAAATCAAGAACATATAGTGTCTGAACTTGAATTCTTTGTTTAGGCAAATATTTCGTGGTCTACTTTGGTAGATACTCTGTGTACAATTGAGAAAAATGGGTATTCTGCTGCTGTTGGGTAGAGTGTTGATCAGGTCAAGTTGGTTAATAGTATTATTCAAGCCTACTATATACTTGCTGGTTTCCTGCTGCTTGTTCTATCAATTATTGAGAAAAAAAGCATTGATATCCTCAATTACATACTTGTAGATTTATTTTCCTAATCCTCCTAATTATGTCCTTTTGTTTCACATATTTGGAATCTATTATCAGTTATCTAAACATTTAGGATTGTTATATTCTCACATCCTCTGTTATGTTCCTCTTTTCATAATGAAGTAATCTTTATTTCTGGTAATATTATTTACTCTGACATGTAATATAAGCACTTAACCTTTCTATGACTAGTGTTAGCATGGTAAAATTTTTTCTATCCTTGCCAGGCACAATGGTTCATACCTGTAATCCTAGTAGCTTGGGAGGCTGACGCAGGAGGATCACAAGTTCAAAGCCAGCCTCAGCAATTTAGTGAGGCCCTAAGTAACTCAGTGAGATCCTGTCTCTAAATAAAATACAAAAAAGGGCTGGGGATATGGCTCAGTGGTTAAGGGGCCCTGGGTTTAATCCCCAGTCCAAAAAAAAAAAAAAAAATCTTTCTATCCTTTCACTTTTAGCCAATGTATTGGTTTTGTTGTTGTTATTTTGTTTTCATTGTTTTGGGATGTTTTGTTTTTTGTTTTTATTTGGGGAGGCTTGGTACTGGGGATTGAACCCAGGGGTACTTTACCACTGTAGCTACGTCCCTAACCCTTTTTAGTCTTTATTTTGAGACAAGGTCTCACCAAGTTGCCCAGGCTTGCCTCAAAATTGCAATATTTCCACCTCAGCCTCCCAGGTAGCTGGGATTCTAGGCATGCACTAGTGCACCTGGCTCTTTTATTCTTGACAACCTAAATCCTTAATTTTTCAGCTAGTTGACTGATGCTTGTTGGGAAAAGTTTTTATATTTTGACATTTAAAATAACCCTCAAAAGCTAACCTCATTCCACTTTCTTGAACCAAGCTTTTGGTTTTTAAATTTGAATAGTTAAAGTGTGTGTCCCACGGAGAAAGGAATATACATCCTATGGTGTCAGCTATAGAACATAGTTAGTATTTAAGTTATGGAATCTAAGGTTAACTGGTATACAGAATAACTGTTTCTCTACCAATAAGTTGAGTATTCCTGATGTACAGATTTTAGTCAAGGTGGAATAGGACCTAAAATATATTTACAACTTTTAAATAAAAACAGGTTTCATTACATATTCTTCAAATTTTATAGTACATCTGTATTATAGTAGCATCACATGATAGTTAGACTGGGAGTACATATCTAACTCTCATTTTGCAGGCCTAAGCACCTTAAGGAATTATCTAGGCTAGATGTCCACTTCAGCATCTTAGGAGCTGGACATTAGTAAAGTTGCCTGGTTGAGGATTTAAGAAGTATATTTTTGTCTCTAAGAAAAATTATAAGAATTTTTTATAGTTTATTGAGTTAGACATACCCTTTATTACCCTTTTGATAGGTAATAATTCTTAATTTTTTTCTGCATCACCAGTATTCAAGTTCATATCCAGAAAGCCAACGAACTAGTTGCAAATTTCTGTTTTTACTTATTATTCTGATCTGTTGCTGTTCATTGGAGGGCAGTGGTGTTAAAATTTTAACATTTGATGTCTTATCAGATGGCAAGGCATATCTAACCTATATAACAAGAGCATTTAGAAAAAAAGCTTAGTTAACATTTGTTTCCTTGATTAGCTTTTTCTCTACTTCAGCTTATTTTAAAAATCGTTTTAGCATTTAATAATGCATTTTTATGATTGTTATACATGCAGTTTGATTTGCTCTTCACAAATATGTCTGTATAGAATAGATTCGGTCAAATAATTTGCCTTAGGTTGCACAGTAAGTGGCAGAATCAAGGAAAGCCCATAGCTTTAATTTCCTGTGTTGAAATTATCTCACACAGAGAAAATTGGTTCATTTAGAGAATAATTTTATGTGTCCAGCACTAGTTGGTTACAGAAATAAATAAAACAATGTTTTGTTTTTGTTTTTGTTTTTATTTTGTGGTGGCACTGGGGATTGAAGTCAAGTCCTCAAATTATGCTATACAAACTCTATAGCTATGCAAAAACTACATCCCCATTCTTTTGCTTTGTATTGTTTCAAACAATACAAAGCAAAAGAATGGGGATGTTAAGTTTACCAGGCTGACTTAGAACTTTGGACCTTCCTACCTCAGTTTCCCAAGTAACTGGGATCACAGGCATGCGCCACTGTGCCCTGCTCTCAGTTCACATTCAATATTGACTCTGTCAATATTGAGAGATTTATGTCTTACTTGGAGAAAGAAGTCAAACTAATTCTTCATGTCCATACAGGTTTAATTTTGTTTACCACATGAACAATATATTAAGGAAACCAAGTAGTATTTTTAAAGAAATAAAAATTATATACAAATTCATTATGTTAAATAAGTTGTTTGCATTTGTATGATCTGTTCCCAAATGTTGCATAATCATTTTTATATAACTATAATAAAGGCATTCATTTTAAAAGTAATTAAAATGTTCTCTTTTTTATAGATGGCGGGTACCATTGATATGACTCTTCAAAGCGACATTATGACAATGTTTGAAAACAACTTTGATTAAAATGCAGTTTTTAGATTAACCATCAACTTTAAATGGATAATATAAAAGATTAAAGTGCATATGGTAAAATGATTGCTTTCAGACACCTAAATATCAATCTTCTATTGTATTTTGATCGATCTAAAATGATTAAACAGTTTTCACTTACATTTAAATAGCTATATGTTCATTTTTTAATGTCATCATTTATAGGAAATTTTATTCTTTAGATCCCTAAAATTTAATAGATTACCAGATGTTGTTCTTTCTCCAAATAATTGTCGTCTATACATTATAGGCCCTATTCTAAGCAATGAAAATCCAAAAGAGATAATCCCTGATTGTTTTTTTTTTTTAATGAGGAATATGTAAAAATGTATCAAAAACATAGTTCCTGTTGAGATTTTTAATTTTAAATAAATACTTGCCTGCTTTTAAAAATATTTAGAGCTTCTATGCCAGGCATGGTGGTGCACGCCTGTAATCCCAACTGTTTGGGAGGCCGAGACTGGAGGATCGTGAGTTCAAGGCTAGTCTTGGCAACATAGCAAGACTGTCTCAAAAGTATTCAAAAGGTCTAGGAGTGTAGTTCACTGATAGAATGCCTTTGGGTTTTATCCCTAGTAGCCATCCCTCCAAAAAGAAATACTTAGAGCTTCTAATAAATAATACTTGAGTATCAGGTTTTATAAGGTTTTCTGCTGATTCTGTATTCAAAATTTATACTGAATTTAATTTAAATAAATATTACCTATGGCTTGAAAGATGTTGAATTTGGCCAAATATCAGTAAATATTATGTATGCGAGTTTCTGTAGGAATTTATCAGATATTTATTAATATGTATAAGTGATAGCAATGAATGTTTAATTTTACTTAACTATAGAAAGTATTACTTAACTATTCTGTAAAATATTTTTGTTTTGTCATTTTCAAGTTGTATAAATCATGTGTATTAGCTTCATGTATTTTAAATGTTTGGACTCTTGAAGTGTAACACAATTCGGGCACTATTTGATACCATCTAAAGTAAAAATTCGAAGTGTGTATGTATTTTATAAAGAATAAGAAAGTTTTCTTGACCTTATTTATTTTATAATATGACAAATCTTTAAAATATCTTTAGATCATCAATCACTTTAAAAACATGATTAGTGGCTAAAATAGTGTTGTTACAACCAGAATTAAGGTGATAACTATTCCTATTGAAACATATCTATTTTTAACCAAGAAATTAGTGTGTATATACTAAACAGTATGTATTATATTATTTTCCTAAAATATTATATATAACATAAAGATTACATACAGAGAGCCAAATGGACACTTAACTTCAAATTTAAGGCAAGTTTTCATAGGTTGGTTGAAATCAGCTTAGTGGAGAAGAGTATTGGTTGATAACTGATTCTTCCAATGTTATACACTATTTTTGTACTAGATTGTTTTCTCTTCTTACACGTAACTGTCTTCAACTACAATCTGGTTTTGTGAGAACTTCTTTTCTGGTAACATCTATCACTGCTCTTCAGCTCCTAAAACCTCTTTGTTGTTTCTGGGATTCATAAAAAGTAAATATTTCTTTCCTCTTTTTGTTCTGAGTTGTTAAAAAAAAAAATGTGGTTCCTGGACCAGCTGTATCAGCTTCATCTGGGAAGTTTTTAGAAATGCAAATTCTCAGACTTCATAATTACCAAATCAGAAATTCTGGTTGTGAGGTCCAGCAATCTGTAGTTGATCAAGCCCTCCACTTGCTTTTCATACACACTAACATTTCAGATCCTTTGCTCTAATCCCTGCAGCTCTCATTTTGTGCTTATTTTTTTAGTGACTCTTCTTGACCTTTGCAATGCCACTTGCAAACCATTCTCTCCTTCCTTTCTCCCTAAAAGCTCCCAGCTTCAAATTTTTCATCTCATCAGACTAATCTTAATGAACAAAAACAGGTTCAGCACCCCTTTCCTTTGCTATAACCAATTACTAAAAGCCTTCCATAAAGTTAATTTCAATACATGTTTTCTTACTGCTTCCTCCTATTCTTGTCTATTCCTTTGTATAAGCCCTTGACACCAACAGTCTTTAAGACCTCACCAAGATCTACAATCCCATTAATCTTTTTCACAGAGCTTCTCAGGCTGGAGGTGTAGTTCAGTGGTGGAGCATATGTGTTTAGCATATGCAAGACCCTGAGTTCAATTCCCAGCATAAAACAAAACACAGTACTTCTCCCTTTCATACTCTGACTTCTCTGCTTGTCCTATATTTATAATACATTATTATAATCATTCCCTTGCATACCCTCTCAACTCCATTGCTTCTTCCTTTGTTGTATTCACTTGGCAAAACTCAAATCCTTATGAAATCTGACCACCTGCTCTGCATCCGTGAAACTAAATGTGTTTGGGAAAAAAACATGCAACCTCAATAACCATTCTCACTTTAAAATTCTGAGCACAATCTCAAATGAGCCTTAGTGTTGGCCGGAAATTAAGTTTCCATGCGTTGTTCACTCTCCCTAGGCAGTCAGCTACTTCATGTCTCCATTCCACTTCAGACATCTATTCAATATCACCTCACCCACCATCCGTCTCTGCTACCCATTTCTTGCTGCTTTTTCACAGAGGTGACAGAAATAATCCTAAGATCTTTGACAGGCTTCCAATACCACTACAACAATCATCACTGTGATATATTCTTCTCTCCCTTCCTTTACAAAAAATGAATTTGTCCTTGTTCTCATCTCATTTGTCCCTGTTAGGGCATCTTTTAACAATTCTTTCTTAACTTCCCAGGATCATTGCTCCAGTAATTATGGTTTTTATTGTCAATGTTCCCTCCTGTAGATGGTTTTCAGTATACAAATTGTAGTTTTTCTGAAAGATCATTTATAGAACTTGTTATTTTCTTCTTTTATGTTGGCTTCTCACATTGGCCCATCCTTTGTTTTTCTTTATAATAACTCTTTAAATTATTTTTAAAACTCTTTTTAAAGTGCACAATTCAGTTGTTTTTAGTATAGTTATTATTGGACAATTTCTGTTTCTTTATAATTCTCTATATTCTTTGTATATATTTTGTCATACAAATATTCTTATACATTACTTGTTTATTAATTTGTATATAATTATGTAGAAGTAAACAGTCAAAAACAATTTGCCAGCTCAAAAATCATGTTACAACTCTTTTATACTTGAATATTATATCCAAGTATGAATTTTATAATATTTTTAATTACAAAGCTTTTAGATGTGACTTAAATAAAAATGTTTAGAAATAATAAGAAAAATTTCTATCCTCTACTCCAATTCTAGGAAGAATATATATAGAGAGAGAGATAGATAGATAGATATCTGTCTGTATTATTTATACTGATCCAAATGTGGATATGTGGAGAGGAGGTTATAAGGGAATTATTTTTACAAAAATATGGCTATCCGTACATTTTACTTAATACATCATGAGCATCTATCTAGGTCTAGATCATTAGATGGACTACACTCATTGTTTTTTAAAGGTTGTTTATCCTTCACTAGTATAGCTCTATCATATTTATATAAAAAGTTCCCTCGGTCCAATTGCTAATTACCTTTTTCTACCACTAACAAACAATGCTGAAGTAAATATTCTGTTTATATAGTATTACATAATTGTACTTTTATTTCTAAATGGGTAAAGCTTCTGAAACAGGATTCCTGAGTGAGAAGGTACAAAGAAAGTAGTTTTAACTTTTAGATGCTGTCAGATAACTGTTCTAAAATATGTCAGAGTAGTTCGTATTATTACAAGTTTGAAAATACTTTCCCGTTATTCTCACCACTTATTTTTTGTTAATAAGATTGAAAAGAATATATAATTTTTTTCTTTCAATTTTATTTCCCAGGCTACAAGTGGAATTAATTGTTTGCCATGTGAGTTGCCTGGTCATTCTTTTTGGCCTTTTTTTCTAATCATTCTGTACTCTATTTTGTTTGCTTTTGGTTTTTTTTAGATGTTAGCCTTTTGTTTTGATTTTTTTTAAAAAATAATCTATTGTAGGTCTCTTGGGGCTCTTTTTTTCCCATTAAAATTATATATTTTATGTAGTCATATCTGACTTTTCCTTTATGATATCTGGATATTAAATTCCCACATCAAGTTTTTTTTTTCTTTGCACCTAAAATCCAGATATTTTTATAGTATAATTCCAGAGTTCTATCTGTGTTATGAAATAGGGAACAAATACTTTCTTCCCTTCCAAATGAATTGTCAGTTATGCCACCACAGTTTACTTACCTGAACCTTTGAATTGCCTGTTATTATATAAAAATTTATTATTATCTAATTTGTAAAAGTTGAATGAACTTAAACACTGTTAGTATTTTAATCAAAATTAGATTAGAATGAAGTTTAGAGAACTGCCAATTTTATTTCTTTCCACGGACCCTATTTTTGGGGGAGGAGGGGGTACTGAGGATTGAATTCAGGGGCTCAACCACTGGGCAACATCCCCAGTCCTGTTCTGCATTTTATTTAGAAACAAGGTCTCACTGAGTTGCTTAGCACTTCACTTTTGCTGAGGCTAGCCTTGAGCTCTCAATCCTCTTGCCTCAGCCTCCCAAGCTGCTGGGATTACAGGCATGTACCACCACCACAGTCTCATGGGACCTGTTTTTGAGTGCAGAGGCAGTAAAATTCTCTTTGGTATTCTACACCACAATTAGTTGGGAGCAGAGCAGTAAGCAACTGGATTGGGGAACTTCTTCAAAGTCCGATGTTAAAGGCCATGCTAAGCATGCTAATTGTGCCACTGGCCAATGGTGAGGTGGGAAGTCGAAGGTCTTCAAGAGGCTAAAGTTCCCAGGCTGGCTAGAGAAAGAAGTCAAATCACCACAAGTTAAGATTAGGAAATTAACTCATGATCAAAGATGAACAAAGAAAATAACAACCTTACAATGACTGAAAGCAGAAATTATATATAACCTCTCACCCAATTCTCCCTGGGGACTTCAGAAGAACATCTATTTGTAAAATGTTTAAAGAATTGGG